TATGAACATGAATAAATAGACATAGATTCAAATCATCACTCAGCTGTTGTTTTGGGTTAAGAGTTAGAGCTGCTGCTATTTCTACTTAATTTCAACCATATTTATGGATTGTTAAAAATAACAAAAATTATCTGGTCAGTTTCTACACATTCGTGCATACATATGTAGACATATGTATCTGCCTAACCTACTTTACGGAACTGTTGTAAAGATAAAAACAGGAAATTCCTAGGAATGCCAGTGAGCTCTTTAGCTTTGCTGATAAATCCCACAGGGATGGAAAGCAGTATATAAATTTTAATAATAAATGCATGAATACTGAGATCCAGGGGAAACGTGTCTGGCCACATCAAAAGGGAAAGCCCCGTGACGATGGCAGAAGGACCCACATGCGTGCCCTTTGTTCTCTGAGAGAATGCCGTGACGTGACCCTGGTCTTCCTTTGCTCCCCACTGTGCGCCCCATCTGTCTTAGTGGGGTGCAGTTTATTGCAAAGGGTGCCTGAGATTCAAGGCCAAGCTGTCATACTGGGAAGCTGGTCCAGCACGGCAGATGCTCTCGCTGAAGAATGCCAGTGGGTTTCTACGGAAACACAGACTCGGAGCGTGCCATTCGCATCCCTCTGGCAAGAGAAATAATTATTCTCAAAGGTGAAGGTGGCGTTCGACAGAGACGGACTCTAAATGGGGAGTCAACCATGGCAAAACGAAGAGACTTGGAAACATCTGTTTTAATTTTACCCTGGAAGTTTGGGGTGGGTGGGGAATTTTCCTGGGTGTGAGGGAAGGGCTGGGTGTGAGGTTGGCGGACGTGCACGAGAACGACCCTGAAAAGTTTCATCAGGCCAACTTCACCTTTGACGGTATTTTAGATGGCTGGAATTGTGTGTGACCATCGGCAGTTTTGGTGACCGCTTCGTCTCGCTTTTCTGACAGGATCCGAAGGGCCTGCCATTACATCGTCAACCTGCGCTATTTCGAAATGTGCATCCTTCTGGTAATCGCGGCAAGCAGCATCGCCTTAGCCGCGGAGGACCCCGTCCTGACCAATTCGGAAAGGAACAAAGTGATTACTCTTTCTTGACCGTTCTGCCTTGCCGCGAGGGACTCATGTAAATGAACGCCAGCCTATACGCACATACCCACGTTGCAGTCCAACCGAGAGTTGACCTGCATGTTCAGGAAATGCACAACTCTTGCCTGGCTGAGCTATTTCAGATTGCGCTTGGGATTTTCCTGGCGTGTAAAAGATGGTCCTTCCCCAACCATCTCCCTGGCACACCAGTACCTAAATGGTACAGCCCAGGGGAGGTTGTACCATGCGATTCCTCCGATCCTGTGCCACTGCTCATAGCAAGAGGTGGAAAAGCAGCATTGCTCTGCTGTCGCAGTTGGAAGTCTTCCCACGGTGGTTCTTGCTATTCCGTGTTCTTTCAGTTTATCCTTCTGAAATTATTTCTAGGCCACCTTTAATGGTAGAGCCTGGCTTTTGCACACACAGGTGCAAAAGCTTGTCTTGACCATCTGGCCTTCGGGCCTGTGGTTGCCCAGGTTGGAAGTTCTCACAAGGCCCACCTCCACATGCATCAGCCTATGGAGTAATTGCAGATTACTGCATGCTGGGAGGAAGGTAGCTGTATCCGTCCACTCTGAGGCAGCCCTCATGGGCAGGGTGGCTGCCACTCACCAGGCCCACCAGCTAGGGGCCAAGTGAGACTCTGCTGGCCATGGTCCGCAGCTGATGGACCGGTGAGTCCAGCCTTTCAACTAGAAAAGAGAGGAGATGCTGGGGACAGGATAGGCCAGTATTTTCTCAGTGAAGAAAGAGAGAGCGGCCAGAGCTAATGAGCTGTGATTTAAAAACCAGGTGAAGCCAAGAGGAAGCATGGTGAAGGCTTTTTGCATCAAACCAGGACAGGTTTCCGAGTTGCATGAACTAGGCTGAAGGCACGACCCGGAAGGTGCAATGAGAATCGGGAAGCTTGGCCTGCTGCGCCCCAGCCTCGGGTTCCCGGAGGCTCTCCTGGCTGCCGTGCCTCGTCTCCTTTGGGTGGTGGTGTGGCACGGGCCCTGCTGCAGGCCCACGTCCTGCCTGAAGTTGGGGGAAGGCGATGGATGAACAGCGAAGAAACAAAATTGTGTTGAAGAACAGGACACAAATAGCCGGGGGGAGAAAAAGAAAGAAGATGGAACGGGAGGGGGTAGCTGAGAGCAGGGACGGTGGGTGGGGATGCACACGCTTCTTATTTTTACCTTCTGTACTGCAGGAGTTGGAAACATTTGACTTGCCTTGCTTTAAATATAATAAGGTAGCATTTGTACTGCTGAGCCAGCTTGGTGCTTGGTCTCAGCTTCCTGTCTCTGGTCCTAAAGGCAGTAATTAGTTAGCCACTGTGAGCAGCGAATTAGCCTGGAGGAAGTCCTGCTGCTGGTGGTGCGGGCAGGGTTGCCTAGGAATCGGGAAGTCACAGCAATACCGTTCCCAAAACCGAGGCTTCCGGGTCATCTGTTCCTAGACACAATGGGAAGCAGGCTTTTGGAAATGGCGTTTCCCAGCTTGATAGCAAGTGGGTTAAAAGGATATGAATGCTGCCTGTGTGGGCTTGACTTCTGGCAGTTGCCGCTCGCACCTCATAGAACCTCTGCAGCAGTCGCTTCCGGATGGCCTCAAAAAGAAAGCGGGATATGTCAGTGGCCACGCGGCTTCCAGTTCCAGAAGCAGTGTGCCTCTGTAGACCAGTTGCCGGAGAAGAGGAACAGGAGGGCGCTAAATTTTATTCATATCCAGCTTCTGGGAATCCCACTGAGACATCTTGTTGGCCTCTGGGAAGAGAATGCTGGGCGAGGGAAGCCTTTGCTCCATAAGGCGGAAAGCACACAGCAGAGTCACAGGGAGCAGGCAGACATAAATGGGGAAAGTGTTTTCTTTGGCTTTCAGAAATATGAAGCGAAGCGGGAGGGTCAAGATGCCATTTAAAGAACCCATAAGGAGGGAATGGCAAGAGCATGATAAGTGAGACAGCATTTGTGACAGCAAACGAAAACAGATTTTCCTCCAAGTGTGTTTATACCAGTCCACTAGAGCACTGCACCACTTAGAGGTTACATTGCAGGAAAGATCTTTATAGAGATTCTGCATCTGCGGAAAAACTAGTCAATTAGGTAGATTAACTGGTTCATGCAGAAGAGCTAAGTGTGTAGCTCCGTGCTGTGATAAAGAGGAGTGGACCAGGTTCTGAGATGGAGGGTCCTCCATTTTTTAATTCCACTGCCTCCAGCCAATACTGGCCTCTTCATGGGGCTGAACCACTGGGCTCAAGCAAGCTTAGATGAGCCAGGACAGAGAAGTAATTTTGGACAGATGGTAATGCATGTTTTCGTGTTTTTCCTCTCCTTCAGTGCAAGGATCAAGGTTGCCCTCCCTTCCTCCCTTCGAGATTTCACATTTTAAGAGCTTTGCTGAGCAGATGCATCCAATGCATCTGATGACGTGGAGCGTGTCCATAAAGCCTGCATGATAATAAATCAGCGAGCCTATTTAAGGTGATAACAAGACTTTCGGAGGCGGGGGCTGGCCCAACAGACTTACGCTGCCACCCGTCTGGAAAATCTTAGCCATCCATCATCCCTGCCAGGAAACGATGTTCTTCAAAGGGCCACTTAGATGCATGCCGTGGGAGGGCTTGATGGAAACATGTGCAGATGCTAGTTGGGGCTTCTGGAGTGAGATAAGGTGGCAGAAACACCCCTGTGGACAAGATGAGGCTCCTGACCAGTTGGCTTAAAAAAAAGCTCCAGTGCCTCACTCGGCTGCTGCTTACATATGTGAGAGTGCTCAGCATAAATATCTCCTCCTGCCTCTCGTTCCTCTTTGCAGGTCCTGCGGTATTTTGACTATGTGTTCACCGGAGTGTTCACCTTTGAGATGGTAATTAAGGTAAGAAACCGGAGGGAGTGTTGGCATTAATCAGTGCAAAGATTGCAGGCTGCCTGCTCGAATGAGCACTTTTCCATCCCTCCTCAGCAAATGGATGGCCGAGCCTTGGCGGCTTCCAGGTGCTGCCACCTGCTGGCTCGGGGAAGCATTCTCAGGGCTGTCCCCCAACCGTTTCTCCAGGATCGTCCTTGGTGAAGCATCCTTCCAAAAAACGGGGCATGTGCTCGGGACTTTGGTCCCAGTCAGGCCTTGCAAGAACTTGGAGCCACGTCTTGGGGTCGCTGCGGCTCTCTGGTGGCCTCATGGACCTTCTTGGGCTAAGGAGCATGCAAGGGACATCTCGTGCCCTTGCTGAGTGAGAGCAACACCCCCGTCCGGCTCTTTCCTCCCCCTCTAAAATCTTGCCCTTCCTGCCAGCCGCCTTGGGCAGTGCGGCTTGGCACCTCCACGTACACCTGCACATCGCAAGTTGCTCCCTGCTCTGTCCGCCCTTCCTTTGGCTGTGCTTCCTTTACTCTTGCAGGCCTTCCCTGGCTTGCCAGCCCTGCTGGTCCCACTTCCTGCTTCTCACCTGCCTTAATTGTCCAGGCGCAGACTGCAGTCTGCTTTTCTGACTGGCAGCTTGCAGGCCTGGGGCCAGTTTTGTGGAGCCCGTGGATAAAGATGGCAGGTGCACCCTCTCCCTCCATCCCTCTCTCACTCCCTCTCTTGGAGTTTGTGCAGAAGTCCCTGATGGAGGTGACTGCAGGGACCTCCAGCAGTGCCCCAGAAGCTCTCCACTCCCTGCCTTCTTCGAAAGGAAATGGTTTTTCCTAAAATTCCTGAGAAACATCTGGAGAGTTTGTTCCTGTCCTTTGCTCCCTTTCCAGGCTCCAGACTTGCTCTTTGGAGGGGGCTACTGCTGAGGCGTATGGGAACATAAAAAGTGGATTTCATCCACAGTCTCACTGTCTCTGCCCACAGCCGAGTCTCCCAAAAATCAAAATGCGCTCTCACTGAACTGTCGGTGTGATCTCGGTTTAGACTGACAAGTTCTATGAGTTCCTCCTTGTGGGTGGAGAGTGTTGGCCCCAAGGAGAAGAGGATGCGAAGCAGTTTCTTGAATAGAAAGATAAAGTCGGATACACCCCCTTTCCTTTTTATTCCAGCAGAACCTTTTGCGCATCCCAGTAATGTCTCAAACGTTACTCCCACAGAGGAGAACTTCTAAAATTAGGCACCAGATTGGTGCTTGGGAAGCAACATTGGCATTTTTATAAATGTCTGGCCTGGAGGCTCATCTACCTTGGGACTGTTTCCTACGAATGCCAAGCAGATATGGATTACATATGGTGTCATAGGCCTGGGGAGGGAGGGAGCCACAGCCTCTGTGCCCAAGAAAAGTCCTGTTGAATCAACCTGAAGGACAACCTGGTTGATCAATTCTGTTTTCAGCAGAGGACGACTGGAGACTTCCAGTGGAGCCACGAACAAACCAGTCGCCACTCAGTGACTGGAGTCCAGAGCAGAACATCTCTGGACCCTGAGCTTCCATTTAGCCAACATGCCTACTAGCTATCTGCAGAGGCGTCCTTGATCAAGTTGCCCAAATAGTCCAGTTGTGGATAAATAGTTCCCACGGCCCCAGAGGCCCTCCACAGCAGCTCCTACATCCTTCTGTTTAAACAAGAGAAAGAGAAGTGCTCCCAGCTTCATTTCCCACAGTGCTTTGGGGCCCCAACCCCAACATGCATTCTGTCAGGAACCAGAGGAATTCTGGGTAAAGTAAGATGGCAGCTGCAGACACTATAATTTTGTCATGGTTTCTTGCTTTTTTTGCTTCAGCTCTACCACTTTCCCTGTCGACTATGTCCAACAGATGTAAGAATCTGATTCTAAGGAGTTTCCTCCAGGGATGAAAATAGCATAGGAGATGGAATTGTCACATGTCTCAACAGCCTAGTAACAGCTCCATTTTTACACCCACTCTGCTTTGGTTCAAGCCAAATAGAGGCAGTTAGTAGTAAAAGTAAAAGTAAATAATAACAGGTCTTCGCTTTTCTATGGTGCTTCAGAGTATTCAGAAAGCTTCTGCAGATATTATATAAGCAATCCTCTAAGGTATTGTTTTGTTTTGGACTAACTGTGAGTTCAGTTTTGTAAAAAACTTCATTGATATCAAAACGGGCCTGCCTCTTGGTGATTGCTGAGAAAACATGGTTGCAAGAGGGCTGCAGGAGCGCCTGTTCCAAGAGCGCTGATTCACTAGGAGCAAAGACGGTCTCTTTGCTCATTGGCCCACGGGATGCTCAGCAGATAGCCAGCTCTGACATACCATTGTGCGTAGGGGTGGGCTGAAGTGAGATGACGTCCATATCTTCCCCACCCCACTTATGGGGAAAAGGACCGGGACAATTTCTCAATGTGGGGAAGGAGAACTGGGGAGAATTGGGGTGCTGCTTACTGGTGGTGAACTGGTAGTCTCACACTGGTGGTCTTAACCTTTTCACTCTGATAGGGGCACCATTAGCCCGAGTCCAGTTCAAGGTGCTTGCTTGCTTATTTATTTATTTGGGATTTTTGTATGCCGTCCCATTCGCATAAGCCTCGGGACGGCTTCCAACATCATAAATAAATACACATACAAATGGATACATATAAAATCTGGATACATCCTGGCTCAATATTTTAAAACCAATAAATCAAATCAACAATTGTTAAAATATCGTTTGAATAAAAAGGTCTTAGCCTGGTGCCGAAAAACAAATAACGACGGCACCAGGCGGACCTCTCTGGGGAGCGCATTCCATAAGTGGGGTGCCACCGCAGAGAAAGTTGCTTATGTTGACCTGGAAACCCCTAAATGGCTTAGGCCCGGGTTATCTTAGGGAGCGCCTGCACCCAGATGTGCCTACCTGACCTTTGAGGTCTGTGCAGGGGGGCCCCTGTGTGAGCCTCCCGTCAGGAGGTGAGAGGGGTGGCCGCTAGGAGCAGGGCTTTTTCTGCAGCTGCTCCTCACAGCTGGAATGCTCTCCCCAAGGAGGTCTGCCTGGCGCCTTCCCTACTTTCCATTCGGCTCCAAGCAAAGACCTTCCTTTTAAAAAATCATTTTAATAACTAATTGCCATAGACCTTTGTTTTGTATATTTTACTGTATTTTTTGTTGTTTTTAATATATAATACACTATGGTTTTTACTATGTTTATCCTGTGTTGTGAGCCATCCAGAGGTGTTGTGGCACAATTGGGCAGCATACAAATGTTTTGTCTAAATAAATGAATAGTAGCAACACTCTACGCTCTGCCATTTTTCACACACACCGGCTCCAGCGTGGAATGTACCCCGACACAGCTTTATTCCAAAGGCGTTTTGGATGGAGGCCAGGCAGTGGGGAGAAATGGTGGCTGCCATGTGCTGCAGGTTTTTTCCATTCCTAGGACTAAATTGTCCCCACCTTTTCTGCAGATGATCGATCAGGGATTGATACTGCAAGATGGCTCCTATTTCCGGGATCTCTGGAACATCTTGGATTTCATCGTGGTGGTTGGAGCGCTGATGGCCTTCGCCTTGGCGTAAGTGTTCTCCCTGGAGGGCCTTTCCCTGCTGTGCTCAACCCCTTAATCAGAGAAAAAGAGGTTCATTACAAGGAAGTACAAAGAGTGAAAAAGCCACAAGAAGCAGGGCGTATCCATGGAACTGTGATTTGTGTGTGAGCACCCAAATTATGGATTTCATAATCTTAAATCATCTAGAGATACAAACATTTTGTAATTGCATCTACAGTACTTCTGACGCAAATAAAGAAAGATAGAACGTTACAAACGGAGACCAAGGGCCAGTGGGTGGAATGGCCCTGATGGATACCGAGAACCCTCCTGTTCAAATACTCCTTTTCCACACATTCCTCCAACGCAGACTGCTAATTTTTGGCTTCTAGCTGGAACTCTTGCCAACTCCAAGCAGAGTTTTTGGGGTTCTCTGCAGAAGGCACATGCAGATCCAAATGCTCTCTGTCTGCCAACCCGCTATATTTATTTTATTTATTATTTATTTATTAGGAGTTTTTATATGCCGTCCCATCGCTTAACGCCTCGGGACGGCTGACATAATTATCATGCGCATTCGCCTGTGCAGATGATAAGCTAAGGACTCACAAGCCACTGCAGTTAATTGCCTAATTCTCTGGGAAATAACCATCCTGCCTCCAATTCTATCAGGCTGTGTCAGACCAGCAGTCACTGAAGTATCAGGGAACTAAACGCTCTAACGTGTAAATACTAATGGAGTCAGATCCTTATACAAAAGAAGATAAGTCGAAGTGCCCATTTAAGCCTTGAAGCATTCACTCCGCTGCATGATCAGACGGAAGAAAGACCTACAGTTCTTTGCCATGATGGTTTTGGCATCCTGAGACAACTTGTATGGCTTCTTCTGTTTAAACATGCAAAGGATTCCACCTTAAGGAGCACAGGATCTCAAAGAAGTCCAGTTTGCCTCCCACTGAGACAAAATTATATGATCATCATCTTTCTCTGAGTGGATCTTTGTTTCCAATGGCAAAAGAAATCTCAGATCATGCAGGGAATAGTGCTTGGGATGTTAAAAGAGCCTCCATAGCTTGGGTTTTTATTTTACTTCTGTCTTCAGCAATGCTAATCTTCAGAGGACTTCTCATCTGTCCCACATAAAGAAAATGGCTTGCACATAAGTTTCCTTAATTGCACTGGAAGAACTGGAGCTCCCAAATGCTCAAGTAAAGCACCTTGAGGGTGCTCAACATGCCTCAGTTCTATTTTGAGATGGCAGCATGAGTCGTGCCCACGCTTGAAATGCCCCATCATTTCACCCTGAGAAGCTCTGGGTGGAAACTAACTGCTCACCTGTGCCAAAGCAGGCACAGCAAGGTGGTGACGGACCACCAGGTATGTCGTGAACCAAGCACCACCGCTTGACGATATTGTGCTCTGTCGCAGAAGATTTAGGAACCCAGAAGCACGACTGCAAGAGCTGAGCAGGGCTGGCAAGTACGGGGCGTTTTGCTCGGCCTCCATTCCTAGGGTGGCCATAAGTCCAAGAAGACCTGGCAGTAGCTAAGAATAACATGGACCACACTTTGTTCTCTAATCAATTGTGATTACAAATAGCATGCTTGACCGGCCAGCTCTTGGAACCCCTCGTGAGGAAGCCCGGCTAATGTATATTGCTGTCTCTCTCAAGTGTCGTATTCATTATATTTATCGATGGGACAACTGCAGTAATTCCTATCGCTGCTTTTGGAATAATCTCTGACCTTAATTAATGCCTGGTGTTTATATTCCATTACACCTAGAAACAGACATCCTTGGAGACTATTCTGGCACCCACATTTTATGTTTGGCTCGATGGTATTCATCCAAGAAAAGCATTTTCAGCTTTTTGTGGTTTTTCTACTCATTGTACTTCTGTGCTTGGACCTCACCTTTGAAAGAGCTCTTATACAGTTCAGGGTCGTGTGGCCAATGGCATTCTGGATCAGGAATTCCCAGGGTGGGGGAACCAAAGAGACTTTTGACTGAAGGAGCTTTCCAAATTCTATCACCTGCCTGGGATTTAGCTGCGGGACTATAAGGGGAAGGGAAGCTTGTGATGATGAAGTGGACAGTGGAAAGAGGAGGCGAGGGTAGTACAAGGCACAGGACCGCAGTGTTGTGGAAAAAGAAGGGTTGGCGAGGGCTGTGGGGCAGCTTTTGTTAGTCCCACTCTGCCCCTCAATCTGCCTTCTCCAACCTGGTCTCCTCCAGATGTTTTTCACTACAACTCTGGTTGCATTTCCACCCACATATGGAAGCTGAAGTCCAAAAATTCTGGAGGAGACCAGGCTGGAGGTAACTGCAGTAAACATGTGCTGTCCCGTTGAAGAAGAGAATGCTCTCACATAGTCTGAGCCCTGTGTTCACTGAGACCCCTCACCCCACCTCAATTTATCTGTCCCGTCACTCCCCATTTTACCACAGAGGGTCTGAAATTCAGCTATTACTCTTATTTATTCCATCTCTATAAGCCCCACAGCCAAAGCTGTCTGGGCAGTTTACAAAAACAGACGATAAAATGCAATAAAGATAATAAAATCAGAGAAACATTAGACAGTGAAAAACAGAAAATGGCAAGGAAAGAAGGCTGTCGCTTCACCCCATGACATGGCAAGCTGACCCTTTGATGGTTGTTCGATGTTGTTCTTGGAAGCACATGTTGTGCCTTTCAAATCCAATTCGAAAGCAGTGTTTAGGATTTCAGCATCACTGGCTTGTGCAGGTAAGGTGCGAGTCTCTAAAATCTAATCAGTCTTTGTCTGTTTCATCTGATACAGTCTGTGAAACTCAAACCACTTCCAAGCATGTTTGAATGCCATGGCTTCCCTTCACGGAGCCCCTGGGAATGGCATTCTGCGGGAACGCTATGTTTAGCTCTCATCTCCTCCAGGGCCCTGCTAACCTTGGGGGAAAGCCATGGAAGAGCAACCTGTTGATGTCTGTCGTGTGGGTGTCCGTCTTCACTGCCCTGTACTCGCGGTCTGTGTAAGAAAGCCTTGAGCGATGGCCTTGGCCCCGTGCTTAAAGAAAAGGCTTTTCTTGGGAGGGAACGCGACTTTCAGCAGAAGGAATCTTGCCAACCCCTTGGGCTAAAATCTTTCCACACTTGCAGCTTTCTGCCCCGAAAGGACCATTCATCTGGAAACACACCGAGAGCGATTTCACATTGCACCCAGAGCCAAACTGGACATGATTAGGAAGATCTGTGATTCGGATCCCCGGCTGTTGCGTAATTGTACCAGTTCACCGTCCCAACTAGCTGCTTGCTTTGAGGACGGGGAACTGCAGCCTCGCCTTGCTGATGAATGGGCCTTCCGACCCTGGCAGATGCCCATGAGCTGGTCCCCGTGCCCATGAGCACATTGGGTGTACACTGAATTCTAAAAACATAAACTGCAGATTGGCCACGAGTACCTGGAACTGCAGGGAGAGAAGCAAGTGCACGTGGGTGGGAACAGTCTCTGGGACGGCAGGATGGGATTCCTGCCCTTCTCCAATGCAGCTCTTCTTCCAAAAACAGCTGTCCCTTCTCGTTCCTTTGCTCCTTGCTGATGGCTCGTTTCCTGATCTTTTCTGTTTTCTTTCCATCTGTCTATCGCTCTGCCCTTGTGACTGTTCATCTGGGCCTTTACTCACAGGAATACTTTGGGGTAATTATCCTTTTTGTTTCTCTTCGGGGAATACCAGAGAGGGGAAAAGGGCTTGAGAGGAGGAAGCTGCTTGGTTATCTGCCTGCTGCCACGCTTTCCATTCACACAGACGCAGTTGGGAAAAGTGCCTTGTGGCCCCGCCATGGAAGACACAAGAGAACTGCCACTGAGAGAGGGCTTTCTAAGATGTGCTTTGATCCTGACATGTGCTTTCTGGGAGTGTATATAGCGATGAAGAACAAGCCAATTATGTGGGGAAAAGCCAGTCAAAACCTGCAATCCTATTATGCTGGAGCATAGATTAGTCTCAACGGTGTAGCATTTCAATGCAGCAGAATCCCGAACTTCATACGGTTCTTTGAGTACCTCTTAAAGTGTCCATCTCGGAGAAGCCACCATAGTCACCCTGTGTGAGTCCCAAGGGTGTGTGGGAAAAGAGGACTGCTGTGTGGAGTGACTGAGTCCATGTGGGTGCGGATGTGATAGAATGTTTGACCCTTTCTTTCCTGGCATGCCTACTCTATGACAAGATCAGACTGAAGTAGACTGGCTGGCTGGCCTCCTTTCAAGAATGATGACTTCACCTTTGCAGAAGAAATCAGTGTTGTTGTTCCATATAATTTGGTATTTTCTGTCCATCTGGCTCCTCATTTTAGAACCTGGTTCCCAAAAATTAGCACCCTTCCCTGAGGATGGAGGAGCATTTGTATGGAATGCTGTTGTTGAGCATTCAGTGATGAGGCAGGGATGTGCCACTCGTGGGGGAGGGTGGGATCTCCATGGGACAGACGATGCCACTGTGCTGGGCCGGGCCCTTGGGTGGGCTTCTGCCCCTGGCTGGATGTCCAGTGGGTGCTCCTCCAGACGGTGCTTCAGCCAGGAACCTGACAGCATCACATGCCGGCTTTCCTCGGCCAATCCACCCTGTCTGAGGAGCCAGTGAGAGGGAGCTCCTCCACCCGGTCGCCTTGATCAGGGTGGCTCTTCCTCCACAACACCTCCAAGAGGCGGAGCTTTGAAAGGAGGAGGAGCTTCTGGAAAGGGCAGAGGTCTCCTTTGGGGCCGGTTTCACACTCCTGGGGAAAAGGGCAAGTTGCAGAGGCTGACCTGCACTTGAACTCGCTTGTCGCAAGCAGCTCTTATTCAGGGGGTGCCCTTTCGAGATCCGCCAGTGTGGAGCAGAGAGAGGCCACGATCCCAAGCGACTGTGCAAGGCAACTCGGAGGCCGCCTTCCCCTGTAGTGCCGCTGCACGTAGCTTCAGGGACAGTGGTGCCTCCGGGGTGCTGGGGAGGGGGCTTCCCCACAGCCGCTCCCAGCAGGGCTGGCTCCAAAGGCTGCTCCCACAATGGCAGCCCTCTCAGGAGCCCTTCGTGCCTGAATGGCAAGGCATCAGTGCTTCTTACCTAAATCAAGTTCGTTGTGCTTCGCTCAGGGGGTTGGCCCACGGAGCAACGCTGTGACTGCAGTCAAACACGGGAGAATATCCCCTCACCCTCCAGTTCCACCCAGCAGTTCCGAATCGCCCACATCTGGAGCAGTGGTTGCATGTTGCTCCTCCCCTCCTTCCCAGTGGCTGAGATTTGTTTGGCAAGTGTAACACTCTTGAGAGGACAGGGCGGGTTTGTTCTGGTTGCCCCAAACAATGGAATGAAATTCCAAGGAGGTACGTTTTCGGTGACACATTCTGAGAAATATTGTGAGTGTGAGACAGGCTAGACAATGAGGGAAATTTCCCACAGATCTATGAATTGCCCTTCCTTATGTAGAATCCCTACCAGTGACTTCTCGGTTACAATGGAATGGCACAGACACACTCGGGAAGGAGGGTGGCCCGCCTGTGCCGTGCCAAGAACCGGGACAAAAGAGGACTCTGTCTGGCCTGCAATGGCTCTGTAACAAGTTACAGAGAGGGATGCACATTTATAAATTTGCAAAAGAGGTGCGTACTTGACACGATTCATACGAATGGCTTTGCTTGACACACTCGGTGGAGGGTGGGAATCGTGGCAGAAAGTTACTCTTCAGCCTTGGAAAGGTGACACAACTGGCCTTTGGGGACAGGCGCAAGACCAAAGGTGGCGGAAGGGGTGGCCCCCTTTTCAGAAGTGGGATTTTCCTCAGCAATGCGGCAGGGGAAGAATGGGCTACATCTGCCCCCCCCCCCATTGCCTCCTGCGATCCCAATAATTTTCAGCTTTCCTGTCTGCGCTCACACGCAGCTGCTGCTGCCTGGCATTTTGGCCCAGAAAACAACCATTAGAAGCTCTTGCGATTTGTGTTCGGCCAGAGAGAGAGGACCCAGGCAGTGAGAGATGAGAGTTGGCTGGAAGAGCTGCCCTGCGGGAATTCGATGCAAGATCCGCGACTGCATTGCCTTGTCTAGGAATCTGCTGTTTCCCTTGTGTTCTCTTGTACGTCAGTAAAGAGAACAAAATATTATAGATGTCTCCCATCAATGCCCTTTCTCATGGCATTTCGTTCCCTGAGGTGTGGGGTGTACGTAACACTACCCTGAGCAAAATGCTAGGCGCCTGCTTTTATTCTAAGCTGTTGGTTAGCAGGAAGGTCCAGTGTTAGAAGGAAATAAAAGAGCTTGCGCGTTTTTATTCTCTGACACAAGCAGCAGTGGAAGAGACTAAAAAGCTAGCAGGTGTGCAAATAGTTCCCAGACCTGTTCATTGAAATTTGCCCCCATCAAGTAAGATTGACCCCCGCTGATTAATCATGTAATGCCTTCATTGAGTAATGCAGCAATTAGAGAAGGCAGTTCTCGTCTAGTGCTGGTTTAAGGCGTTTTGCTGACGGAAGCAGAGTCCCAGTGGTGCTCTCTCCAGCCCAGGCCGACGCCGTCAGGGTGCTGGCTGCACCGTCCCAGTGCCAGCTGCTTCATCCACATCAGTGTCTCCCTTGTGGTGCTCCCTGAAATAGGTTCCTTCTGTCTGCAGCATCTTAGGGCCGGTCCCATCCTCGCCCTAACACATGGCAGGCTCTTCCGGAGCGCCATCACTTCACCTTCCGCAATCCAGAAAGGCCTCCTCAGCCATCCCAGCTGGAATGCATGGGAGCTTTGTGAGTGTGCTGGTATGAACTGGGAATGCCCCCTTTGCAATGGCCCTTCCTTTCAAAGGCAAATTGTGGAGCGGGAGCCCCCACTGACTACACCTGTCTGTGGTTTTGCAAAACCCCTTAGGTCAATGCATTTTTTAATTAACCTTGGGCAGGATGTTGGAGGAGGAAGCGAACACCAGCCGGCCTGCTGGAAAACAAGGTGTGGGCGGTGCAAAGGGTAACTTCCTGAGAGTGGCGAACTGAAGGAAGCTGCAGGCTGTCCTGCCATCAGAGGCAATGCAGGGGTAGCTTAGCGGACCACCTGCAGCACGGCCGAGCAGAACTAGTGCACGACAGCAATCAGGTATGCGTCCTTTTCCCAACTGGACATTCATTATGCAGTGTCAGATTGCAAACTAGCTGTTACCGTTCAGGAATGCAAACTTGCAAGTATACCAAAACAGTGGGAGCAGGGTATTGCTGTTGTCCACTGACATGTTTTTTTCTTTGTGCAAAGTTGGTCGCCTTTTGCTAGAATGCTGCTTCCCAAGCTCATGAGGCTGGGATCATTTCACCATTTTTCTGTGTGCAGGAGACTTTATGGATAGCTGCTTCCGTGTGGCTGGAAGAAAATCGGGAGGGTAGAGAAGCACTTGGGTGGATATATGTCATGAGTCTGGGGTGGAGGATGGCTTGCCCTCCTGGTGGACCACTTTATGTGGTCTGTCCAAGAAAAGGAGTTTGGACAGGATGCCTCCAATCAGGCTGAACCTCCTGAGACAGCCTAGTCTATCCGGCTGCTTAGAGGGGTTCTGAGCCCTATTTTCAAGGACTTCCTCCTTTCTGCCCTAGAGAAAAAAAAAATAAAAGGTGGTTTGGACTTTCCTTCTCAAAAGCTCGAAACAGCTGACAAACCCCCCATTAAGAATCTGACAACACAAGCACAAGCTCTGTAACCCTGAGGTCTTTCATGGTGGAAAGGTTCAGTGAGAAATCCTTTTTAGAATCACGCAGCCAGATGTCCAACATAGAAAGGAATTCATGGGGGGAAAGGAGAAATTGGAGCTGGTGGAGGGAGCAGGAAGGAACCAGGGAAGGCAGAAATCAGACACATGCACAGAATTCCAAACACGGGGCTAAATAATCAGTCTAGTGCCATGACCTCCTGGAGGAGAGTCTTGGGTTCCACAGCCTATGCCAGATTTCTTGCAGAGACGATGGTCTGAGAGAGAGGGGGAGTATCTGGCCTTTGGTTGGATAGTACCTGGGAAACTCGAGAAGGACTGAGTGAGTTCCATAAAAGAGAGCCCCTCAATGAGGACTTGCCTGTCAGGTGGCCTGCCTAGTAACTCGATAGCCCTGCTTTCCTGATATCAGTGGCTTAGCCAGCAACTCAGGAAATTATCCAGTGGCTGAATCCCCCACCTTAATGAATGCAAATCACATCTCAAAAGCCCAAGGAGGTTGGAACCAGTGGACCAATCCAAGAAAAGTATTACTCTGTGTTTTGGAGGACAAAGACGTGAGATGGAGCTAGAGAAAACCGTTTGGCTTGTCCAGCAGGGAACTAGCTAGACGGATGCTCTGGGATACGTGGAAGATGGGTTGGACTCAGCTTATAATAAGCTGGATCTGCATAGGCTGCAGGCTTATGGGGTACCCAGAGTGCCTTACTGACATCACCGACTCACCTGTTCGTACATAACTTGATGCCAATTAAAGCATCTCAGGTCAGCCGTGGCTTATCTGATACTCACTTTCCGGGAAGTAAGCCACATGCAGTTCAGCGAGACTTCTTTCTAAGCAGACATGTATGGGATGCGCTGGAAGCTGCCTGCCTTTTCACCAACGAGACAAATGCACGCACACTTAAATTTCCCCCCAGCTTCGATGCACAAAGCATGAGGGCTTTAAACATGGCCCCTGTTGAGGAATTTTAATTAGAGTTGTATCTACTCCTTTTTAAATTAGTCGCTAGGTCTCTTGTTGTGGTTCCTATTGTTTTAATCCTTACAAAAGGGGTGCTTGATCCTTTGTCTCAAAGTGACCCACTTTAGAGATTTTCAAGGATACTTGGTAAGGGCCTGGCTCTTTCAAAGGACTCATGTGCTTTCTTTTATTAGCTCCAGACGAGTTCAAAATATAAAGCACTTGTCCCTCCAGCAGCATCATTAGCTTTACATTTTAATTTGTCGGCATGATGTTCTGGTTAGCTGAAGTGTTTTGCTGTTTGAGAACTGCACTGAGCAGATGGACAACAGAGAGTAGGAAGGAGATGGGAGGGGGTGCCCATATGGCTGACCCCGGGGGTGTGCAGGCACCTGTGTTAGACAGAACTTTCTGATACCTGGAGCGACACACACATCAGCTGCTGGTGTGAGAATGGTTTCCTTTGGGAGGGAGGCACCTGTGCAGAATTCACCCTTTCTGGACCAAACAGCTTTTCCTTCCCTGTGGAAGATGGGCGAGAATAAGCATGATTGCAGACCAGATTACCAACAAGAAAACAAGTCCCAGTGCAGTCCACCGAACGGCCTCCCATCATGGCCAAAGATGGCAGAAAACCTTTCCAAAGGATGAAGGATATTGTTTGCCAGGTGAGGGGAGTGGCACAAGAAGCTGCCTTGATATAAGCCGGGCTACTGGCCTCCCCCGCTCAGCCTGGACTGGTGTTTTTCTGGGATTCAGAAGAGCCTCTCGCAGCGGGGGGTCCACTCAAGCATCGCCCCGAAAGGGGGGCCTTATGCCACAAGTGAGGGCAGCGATCTCCATAAAATGTGCAGGTGCACCATTGAAAGGATTGCGATTTCAATAGAACTAATGCATCTCACCCTAGTGGGGAAACCTGTGGCCAGGTGCATGGTGTGTCCATGCACCTGGACTGGACTGCCCTTTGGCAGAGCCCGCCTTCACAAGGAGGGTCGCCCTTCGCACAGTGGGCCACCAACAGTGCCCTCTGGGAAGCCGGGACCTTCCGCCTGCAAACGTGCTCTGTCCCCTTCCCAGGGGCACACAGTGGGGCGCATTGCACAGAGCCCTTTGGCTCTTGCATTATTTGCTTCCCTACTGAGGGGGCGAGAGGCTCTGGCATTTGCTGAATCCTGGCACAGAAGGACAGGTCCAGTGCCACAGCTGTGCTCCCAATCTCGCTTTTTGTGGAGTGCCCGAGAGGCAATTCTCCCTTGGCATCTTCCAGCCCCTCCAGCTGAAGGGTTCAGGCCCCTGAAAGAGCTGCAGCCTGAGCCACGTTGAACCTTGCCTTGTGCTCTCCACCTGCTGAGACTGGCTGCATTTTAATCTGCCGTCGTGCTCTCTGAAATCCCAAATTTCAGGTAAAATGTGGATGTGTAAATGCAATGCTTTGTTACAAGTTGAAAAAACTCTTCCCCTCGTTTTCCGTGTGGGCATGTATGTGTGCGTATACATGTGTATGTTTGTGTGTATGTAAAGACATTCTTGCATGTAGTCCGTAATCAAGACATCTGTGTGCTTCATCCTTCATATATGAATGAAAGACTGTTGTGAGAATTCTATGAGAATTTTCACTGCACCAAGAAACAAGAAGAAATGGAGGTCTTTATACTTCTCACAAGCATACCCCTGCAAGAGGAAATTGGGTCAGTTGGAGAACAAGTTGTTTCGAGGGAACTGATCTTCTGCTTGGGGCTTCCCTGAGGGCTGTGGGTTTCTCCAGAGCTGTCTGTCTGAAAACCCTGATCTAAGGAAGGGGGGGGGGATACAGAAAGCCACAAGTAAGCCCTGCATCATCTTCCAGACTGACCTTCAGCTTCTTTGAAAACAGCGAGTCTAAAGAGAAAGAGAGGTTTTCCCTCAAGTGCAGGGCATCCAGATTTAAGTCCTTGTCTGGAAAATCCTTGGAAAGCAGGCTCCAGGGATGTACTAAAATGAGGAGAGGAAAGCTTGGCATTTTCCTCAAAATGCTGTAGCTTGAATCCTAAAATGAGTGAACACCGGACATCATCCTATGCCTCTGCCATCAGAGCAAGACTATGTCTCCCAGCAGTCTTCAGCCAGGCTGGAGAGGAATAGTCGGAATGGTGGAACGTTTTAATGTGTCAGCTGGAATAGAATTTCACTCTTCAAAAGTGAATGGAGGAAATTCTTTCCTTCCACCCCCTTCAAGCCCCCTGAAGCACTTTTCCAGAGAGTTGGAGCCCCTCAGCCTTGTGGGATGGGCTGCTGCAGGGAAGGGGGGACAGGAAATCTCCCTTTCACAACCCTCCTAAGTTAATGTCTCTTGGGATCCAGGCCATCACGTCCAACCGTCCGCCCCACACCCCTTGCAGAGAGACTAGAAATGAGCTCAATTTTGTCTTTCTAGCCTGGGCGGAAGATTCTTAGAATTCAGCGGTGTCATCACACGCCTCCACTTATCATCACATAACACCCTATATAAGGAAGAAGTGGTTTTTAATGTGTTATGGTTATAGAGGATTGCATTGGCTGAACTGTGTCGTGGAGCTTGCCGGGGAAAGAGATGTTTTGCCGATGCCATCTGATGAGCAGCCAGAACGAGAACATTTCTCAGACCTGCCCAGCACGTGAACATGTGACACGCACTGCACAGGGCCAGGGTGTCTTCGCAACAGATGGCCAGGCTCAGCAAGACTGTCGGATCACCTGTCCTTACCTTGTTATCTTACTTGTCTCAGAGTTATAGCAGTTGAAATTAGCTGTCAAGTTGAGCGAGAAGGGAATACTTACAGCTGCTGCTGCAGGGTATTGGGTTGTCGGGAGGTTATCCTCTCCTCTCCTCTCCTCTCCTCTCCTCTCCTCTCCTCTCCTCTCCTCTTCCTCTTCCTCTTCCTCTTCCTCTTCCTCTTCCTCTTCCTTCCGTTCCATTCTGTTTCTGCTCCTAGACTGCCTGATTCTTGTGACCATGGAGTCCATCATTTTAATTTTCCAACCACATCGGGATGGACCATGGTTTTCAAACTGGGTTTCAGAATTAGAACATCGGTCGAGGCAGATAAGCTTCCCCACAGGAGAGCTTCCGCCTACCCTGACGGTCTGGGGGTGTTCTTTTGCGGCACCCTTCCCGTTCACATGAGGGGGTGGTAAAGTCCAACAGGGCTTTTCCAGGCCATGTCTGAATTGGGTGTGCCCTTGAGTGAGTGGCAGAACCTTCTGCAATATGCTGTTGTCCCTTATGGGTCAAGGAACGTAGAAAATGTTCCCAGAAGGTAAAAAAAAATTAAGACCACTGATTGGTGCAGCATTAGAAATAAGTTTTCTACCACTACCCTCCAAAAAAGTAAAATTTGGCCCAGTGTTGTCATTACATGCACAAATTAGAAAGAAATAATCGCTGTTGCATAATTATAATGAGTTCAACTGTGTCTGAGAGGGTTGTTTTCTCCTTTTCTCTTGTTTTGGGTGGGCTGTTTCTCCCCACTAACGTACAGGACCAATAAAGGTCGGGACATTAAAACGATCAAGTCTCTCCGCGTTCTACGAGTCCTGAGGCCTTTGAAGACCATCAAGCGCTTGCCCAAACTCAAGGTATAGTTGCATTCATTTCAGGCAGTGACAATCTTCATTAAAGCTCGTTAGAGCGAAAGCTAGATGAGACATGGTTGATGAGCAGCAGCTGTTGACATTGGGAGCTCCCCCTTAGATTAAGAAATTCTTGCTCTGCTAGGGTGACTAAATCCTATGGAAATAGCAAATAGCTGTTTGGAAGAAGGAGATTCTGCTGACTCAGTTCATTGGTGGTTGTACCAGTTTAACCACCTGCCTTTGCCCGGGGAAACCTGGGAATCTGCTGATTTCCCTTCCACAAAACTGAACTTCCCAGATTGCCATGGGAAGAGGGGAATGGCTGCAAATCCGGCAGACATTTGACTTGCAGTTCTGTACCCTCCGTCATGTGAAGATTAAAGAGCTGCCAAAAAAGCTCTTCTTTGATGCAGCAGTTAAAGGCAGAGACGTCTTGTCCTCCTTGGGATCTTTGCACCCCTGTCCAGGACTCCTTGTCTGTGCAGGGACCTCCGCTGCTTGTCCACTGCTTCGTCTTTGGTTAAGGCAGAGGTGGGAAGCTTTTTCACATGAAGAGCCCAATCGAGGACCCCCGGGGGATGGTGGGCAGTCCCAGAAACGGGAGAGGGCAGAGTTTGCTGTGAGCTGAATCCCTTAATGCTTGGCTCTTTCTGCGCAACCTGATCCCTTCTCCCCACCACCTTGCACATCTGCATGTGTGCAATTCCCGGAAGGGTGGTCCGGAGTGCATGAACGGGCGATCCCTGTCCATCCACTGCCCTGCAGGCAGAGCGACCCTTTCCACCCGTGTGGAGCATGACGGCACAGGAACGTGCATGAAGCAGCCTAGGACGGTACGGAACGCCACGCAAGACTGGGGGAGGAGAAACGCCCAAGGAAACGCCAGGCCGAGAAGTTGCGGTCCAGGCAGACTTTTGTTAAGGGAGGGGTCTCTGAGCAGGGCAGCGTCTCGGTGCCCACACGGCCAGCAGGGTGCCACTCCCACGCCTGTTACAAACACGGCTTTGGATAGGTCACACCAGGGACCTCTGGTCTCCACTGGAAACACAAAGGAAACATGGGAGAGGGAATGATGAACCTGTGGCAGCTTTCACGGAACCTTATGTCTGGGGAATTTCAGAATATGAACTGTAATAGCAGAAGTCCCCCCACCCCGCCCGGCGAAAGCTTAACCTGTCGCGTTCGTTGAGTGATCCTTGGCTTTGGTTATCCGTGGCCGCAGAGGCACACAAGCTGCATAGCTTCTGCCAGCCTTGAAGCCCATTTCCTTCCACAATCTGAACAGCCCCTGCTGGCAGTGTCCTGCCTTCCGCCCATGTTGCTTGCCTTGATGCGGTGGAGAAAATGCATGGCTAGAGGATGGCTCTGACACGCCGCATGCCCTCTTTGGCAAAAAGCAGTGCCGCTTCCCGATGACGAACCGCCCCTTCTGCGCTTGCTCCCCACCCCAGGCAGTCTTCGACTGTGTGGTGACGTCTCTGAAGAACGTCTTCAACATACTCATCGTGTACAAGCTCTTCATGTTCATCTTTGCCGTCATCGCGGTTCAGCTCTTCAAGGGCAAGTTCTTCTATTGCACAGACAGCTCCAAGGATACAGAGAAGGACTGCATGTAAGTACAGTAGAACAAAGCTGCTGGTCATGCATCCCAGCACAGTTTTTGTGTCCTCGCCTCTGGGAGACCGCAAAGAGCTGCAGACGCTCACACTGCAGCCTGCGGGTTCCCCACTGGGTTTATCGCATACCTTCTAGAAGCTCACTGGTCCTTCTCAGGCCAATTTAGGGGAGCGTTCTGGAACATGTTTTTCTTCTAATTTAAAGATGTGTAGCTACTTCTGATTCTCCTGCATTTATAGAAATCACCACCTTATCTCACTAGTCAGAGCTCATCTGGAATATTGTGTCCAGTTCTGGGCACCAAGGTTTAAGAAAGATGTAGAAAAAACTAGAAAAGGTCCAGAGGAGGGCAACAAAAATGATCCAGGGTTTGGAAACGCTGCCCTGTGAGGAGAGACTGAGAAGAGAAGAGAAGCCTTGAGAAGAGAAGACTGAGGGGGGGCATGAGATCCCTCTATAAGTCCCTGAAAGGCTTCCACAAAGAGGAAGGCCAACATCTCTTCCTGCTGATGCCAGAGTGTAGGATGTGGAATAATCCATTCAAGTTGTGACAACCCAGATTCAGGCTGGGCATCAGGAAAGGCTTCCTCACAGTCAGAGCAATATGGAACCAGCTGCCTGGAGAGGTGGGGGCTCTCCCACACTGGAGACATCCAGAAAGAAACTGGACAGCCACCTGAGTGGGACGGTGTGACGTGGTGTCCTGTAACAGCAGGGGTTGGACCTGATGGCCTTCATGGCCAACTTCCAGCTGTTCTATGAGTCTATGCACCTGTGGCCCCATTTTGCTTCCAGCTGGATACTCAGCCATCCCAGTCAATTATTAGAGAGAATTATATCCAAAGCTCCCAGGGAAAGCATTGCTAATCCTGGTTTCCAGGTATGAATAGAGTTTTCTTGGTGATTATTGACCAATTAATTTAAAGAAAACTAATGAGTCAATAATCATTAAGAAGCCTAAGGGTGGAGGTGAGTAGAAGTCAAGAGACGAGGGGAGTTAGGGTCCCAACATACCCAGGCTTGTCCCGAGCCCTATGAAGTGGTCAGAAAGAGGCACGTGAGCGATGGGAGCTGAGCTGCCTCGCGCGCTCTCCAGCTTTTGTCCCTACAGCCTCTCAGTCTGGCCATTCCCACGCACCCCGCTCATTTCTGGGACCACAGCCTGATTGATGGAAAAGTGACGTTGGGGCAAAAGATCCCGAGCTGTAAGCAGGAAGCATTTAGCATCCCGGCCTCTGCTATCCCAGCATCTCAGATCCTGAGATGTATTCCTTCCTTTTCCATCCTGGAAGAGTATCTCAAGCAAGGATGTAAGCTGCCTTGAGCCCTTTGTAGGAAAAAGGCAGGATATAAATCCATAAATAAATAAATAAATAAATAAACAACAACAACAACAACAACAACAACAACAACAACAACAACAACAACTAACTAACTAACTAACTAACTAACTAACCCACCCGAAGGCCCTTGAGCTGATTTCTGTAGCAGTCATTTGACGCTCTGGCAAGAATGACTGGCTCCTTCCCTGGCAACTCACTGAATGGGAAGAAATGGGGCGAGAAAGAAAAGAGGGGTACCAGGACGAGAAAAATGGTGAGCCACCCACATCTGACAGTGGCCCCCACCGCTCGCTTCAGTCCCTGACGTGTGGCCCCCGTTTTCTGCAAAGGGGAGTGGCTTGTGGAAGAAAACCCTCTCCCCGCCTCTGATGCAAAGGATAACAGTCTCTCCAAAACTTCACAGAGGAAACTACGTGGACCACGAGAAAAATAAGATGGAAGTAAAATGCCGAGAATGGAAGCGCCACGAATTTCACTACGACAATATCATTTGGGCTTTGCTTACGCTCTTCACTGTCTCCACCGGAGAAGGTTGGCCACAGTGAGTATTTCCCTTGGATTTCTCTCGTGTAGGTATTAAGGAGGGATTGTCTCTTAGGCCCGTCCTGTAATAAGGGGGATCCCTGTATCGTGTACGTTTTCATGGTAAAAAGTGCAAGATGCCAAATTCTGCTCCTAAAGGGGGAGTCGTTTCTTAATTTTGTTTATCCTGATTTAGGAAAAGATCTCGGGGTCAGGTTGCGCTCTTGTTCTTCAGACTAGCCAGTCAAAGTCTTCCACTGTCACCTGATGGGGCTTCTCCAAGCAAGAAAAGAAAGACGCTCTCGTAGGCCGCCTGGAGGCATCCCGTCGGCAGTTCTAGGAAGCTGGATACTTTACGAGTCGGTGCTGTTAGGAGTGTGCACACCCTGAAAAGCACCCACCAGAAGTTTATAGAGACTCCGTGCCATGTCTTGTCAGGGTTTGTTTAGCCCATGGCATTGATCGTCACGTCATGCAAACCTGATGAGCATGGATTGTGTGTAGGCTGAACAACCCTTGCCTAACTCTAAAATGATCCCTGGATTATGCAACTGTTGTTCAGCCGTCACACAGCCACACTTACTGGGTTTGCGCGACATAGCAACTGTGAGCTGCAGATTCAGAATGGTGGCTGCCATGGACTCCCCATGAGTTAAACAATACACAGTGAGGTGACATGTCTTAGATGTGTTTTCTCTGTGCAGATTATTAAATTCAAAGCCAATCTGATTTGGTTCAATTGTTGGGAACCCCCCAGAGAGCTTTGGCTATTGGGTAGAACAGAATTAGAATAAAAGAAAGAAAGAACTCTGTGCATGCAGGAAAATCTGAGTGCTTCTCCTCCCATACCAGTGCAGACTGCTGTGGGAGGATTAAAGATATTTGAACTGTCACACTCAACACAACGTGCAAGCACAATGCACACAGCATGCCTGCACCTAAAAACGGCTTCACAGATAGAATTATTTCCCACACCTTGGCTTGTTTCCTGGATGCAGTTGCAAGTGTGTGTGGCAGGGAGCTTAATGCCCCGCTTGATTCTCATCCGCGCGGTATTGCAATGGCAGAAATGTGTTTGCTGGCCACGGTAGATACGTTGCTCTGCCCCTAGGCGCAAACGTTTTGCGCCACGGTCTCCTAGCAAAGCTTCAAGGAGTTGGGACGGAGGGAGAATGTGCCACTCGCACGACGCACTGCACTCCCTTCCTGTGTTCTCACTGCGCCCTCAGGGTCCTGCAGCACTCGGTGGATGTGACCGAGGAGGACCGCGGCCCCAGCCGAAGCAACCGCATGGAGATGTCCATTTTCTACGTGGTGTATTTTGTGGTCTTCCCTTTCTTCTTCGTGAACATCTTTGTGGCTCTCATCATCATCACTTTCCAGGAGCAGGGGGACAAAATGATGGAGGAGTGCAGCCTTGAGAAGAACGAGGTAATGTGTGTAAGAAGGAAGAGGCTGGGGGAAGAAAAGCATTTTGGTACTGATGGATTGGGAGCCAGGTGGACCCTCCAAATCCGTTCCTGCCTCCGGCTCCACGGTGCACCCCTGCAGGCGCATAAGTATCCAGGGGAAAGGAAGTGCTTTTGGGAATAAGTGTGTCTTGAAAGGTGGGATAGGGGTTTTTAAAAAAATAACAGCAACAGCAACAGCAATGGTAATAGTGTTGTCGCATAGTGACATCTCAGGCTCGTGGTTCCTTGTCATCCAAAAACACCTATTTCCGTGCCACTGTGTTTCCTGCCACAGATGATAGTACGTGTGCTGGCGCATTAATGGCGCAATTCTCAGAGCTCCTGGCCACTGCAGTGTGTCTTGATCCCTGATCTCCAGGGATCTCCAGGAGACCAACTAAAGACTAGGAAATTGAAGGCAGTAGTTCCAGGGACAAATGGCACCACTCCTGTTATCGGGGGCATTATATTGCACCAGCTTCTGTTATTGGGGGCGTTATATTAGAGTTCATCTGAATTTTTGTGAGTCTCCATCTTCTTGCCAAAATACGTATGTACATTGAGCAGGGATGGCTCTACCCTATGGTGGAGTGAGGAGGCAGTCTCAGGCGGCCATCGGGAGAGACCAAAGTGGCAGCAGAGTGGGGGTGGACATGGCTGCCTATGTCACCTACAACCTGTCCTGTAACTACTGAGTTACCTGCCGTCCTCAGGACAGTGGAAGCAGCTGGTGATTTGACCGCCACTCTGGCGTACGGTGCGCCATTTTGTCTTCCACAAGGGCGGCAAAATGTCTTGGCCCTTCTCTGTCAGGGAGGGATTAACTTCCATAGCGAAGCCAATTCCATCGTTCTGCTTTTCATTCAAATCTAGTCTTCGGACTGATTTTAAAACTCTCGGGAAGTTCTTGAGCCCCAAGGAATCTTTGAGCGTGTCTGATCAAAGTGTAGGCAAGGGTATATATTCTTTGAAAGTTGTTCTCTGCAGCGTATGGGACGATAGGCAGAGCTGGGTTGGTGTGCACTAGGTTACACATACGCTTTAAAAAGGATCCTAAAGAGCAGCATTTTTCACATACTTCTTTCTAGTTCAGGACTTGGATGGAAAATAAATGGGGGAGCAGGTACACACACAGTGAAAATCAGAGGGCCACTTCAACAATAAATACAACAAAAAACGAACCTAAGATTGTTTCAGTTCAGCCATACTTAAAATTTCTTTCTTCCCCACACGTGTTTCTTGTCCCTTTGCATCAGTAAGTAGCCAATTAGGCGCAGGTGTTGTTCTACCTGATTGTAAAGCATTTAATGCACTGTACGGGCTGCGCAGAACGAACAGTTAGGAAAATCGGGTGCGTTTCAATTGCCAAACTTGCTTTCTTCCTCTCCTTCCAGAGAGCCTGCATCGACTTCGCCATCAGTGCCAAGCCCCTCACCCGCTACATGCCTCAAAACCGACACACCTTCCAGTACCGGGTCTGGCACTTCGTGGTGTCCCCCTCCTTTGAGTATACCATCATGGCCATGATCGCGCTTAATACCGTGGTCTTAATGATGAAGGTGAGGTGCCACCTGGGATGGCGTGCACAGGTTTCTCAGCAGGTGCTGTTGTCAGGTGCGAAAGCTGCTGGCAACCTGGGAGATGCCCTCTCTTTTCTCTGGGTCCAAATCCTCTGTGTTAAAGAAATGCGGTTGTGAATCCAGGTAGCATGGTTGAGCCAGGCTGACAACATCTTTCTACGGTTTCCCACCCCCCTTACCTGCGATGCTCTGAACAGGATGCAGACTGAGACCTTCTGCCTGCAGTTCTAGGAGCTTCCTCTGCCCTCCTCATCCCCTTTTCCTTTTGTGCCATTTTTTGCATTGGCTAAATCCAGCCATTACAGCAACCCATGACAAATGGGACCAGTTGAGCATGGTGTCTCTGGTGTACTTGTCACTTCCACTTCCAGTTAACAAGCCACTCTGATTCTAGTGTGACATTCAGACCCGGAGACTCTGGGTTGCTTAGGGGTTAAGCAATCCGAAATTAACCCACAATTGGTTGCTGAGTTGCGTCACTAGGCACTAAACGACCCGTAACGCCTGGATGCCTGTTAATGCAGACAAGCTCAGTAGAACCTACGAGAACAACCCCACAAGGAGATAAGAGGGGTAGCAACCAGGTGAAGGGCCTTTTCCTCCGCTGCTTCCATCCTTGGAGCTCCCTCCCTAGAGAAATTCACCAGGCACCATCTTTATTTTCCTTTCAGCTCCAGGTGAAGACATACCTTTTTAGAAAAAAAATTAACACTTAGCCCTGAATGCTGTGGCCCTTTTAATATTGGTATTATAGATGTTTAAATTTGTTCTGTTTTAATTGGTTTTTATTGTGCTTTATTTTATTTTAATATGTTTAGTGTACTGTTAGCCACCTAGGAAGTTACAGGCAGCCTATAAATACATTTATAAATAAATAAATAGAGAATAATTGAGAAGAGAAGCAAAAGGACATCAGAAGCAGCCCGCTTGCTTGCTCCCACTATATTTATTTACTTATTTAGAATTTTTTTATGCTGTCCCATCACTTATAGCCTTGGGACGGCTCACATAAAATAAACAAACATAATACATAGTAAAATAATACAAGTAAAAACCCAGAATCACGCTGGCTGCGAAATTAAAACCTACAGATATTATTAAGAGTTGTCAAAATATTGTTTAAATAAAAAGGTCTTTGGCCATGAGCGGCTTAAAGAACCCAGGCAGTGCTGTTACGTGCTAAACACTCTCACTCCTGCTGGCCTTACAGAAGCTGCTTTTCCAAATGTAGCTTTTTCAACCGGAGAAGGGTGGAAATGTTTAACATAACCATAAATCAAAGCACACTCTGTCCCACTGAGGTGTGTTGTTGCTCCTGGGCACCACCCCTGAGCATGTGCCTCTGCCCCGTTCCCATCAGGACCATGACTTTTCTTTCGTGTTCTCAGCGAGTTTGCCTTGCATTGGCTTTCCTCAAGCGCAGCTCTTTCTGCCCTGAACAACTGTCCTACACAGGCCTGTAGAGAATTAAATTAAACATGCTCAGTTAAAAGAACATGCTAATTAAGGGATGTTGGCTTGTTTGTGTCCATGAACATTCGTCTATGCCACATTAGAAGACTGATCCTGGTTTTTAACTTGATTTTTTTTCCAGCTTGCTTGAAATTTTTTAAAAATTGTTTCAGTTTGATCTACTGTCTGTATTTCTGGGGGGAAATGGAACTTCACAGTGGAAGGGTAACTTCCTGAATTGTTATATTATTCAAGCAGAATCCAGGGTATTATGACTCCCAGCCTTTCTTCTCTGTTTTGGCAGTATTATTCTGCTCCTTACACGTATGAACTGGCTCTGAAGTACCTAAACATTGCTTTTACGATGGTTTTCTCACTGGAATGTGTCCTGAAAATTATAGCTTTTGGTTTCCTGGTGAGTTATAGGACATTTATTGATTTTAATTTTCCAGTTCTGGGCAATCTAGCTGTACCTAGGAAGGATGCTTTCCTAGTCTGGATCGGTCCCTTATCTGGTGCAGTCCCAGCTCTCTGCAGTGTGTCCCCAAGTAGTTTGAGAGAAAGATCGAGCACAGGCGATGGGGGCTCGTTCCCGGGACACCCTGAGTCGGGAGCCACATTTGGGAACGATGCAGTTCCCTCTGCGGGAAGGCAAGTGTGTCTTGTCGGCCCTTGTGCGATATATCTGCAAGTGTGTGTTTCTGCATTTACCGAAAACCTTTGGAGGTGCAAGACTGAAAACGGATGAGGTGGACGGAGGGGCGAGCAGACGTAAAGACAGACACATGTGCCCTTACTTGTGCCTGGTATTCCTGATCCTGTCCTTGAATGACCCACATTGGCAAAGCGGGACCAAAGGCTGCTTTTTAATGCAGATGCATGTGGCATGATGCATAGAGCGAGGAGCCTTTGCCTATGAGACCGGGACAAAAAGCTCGGGCTGGCCATAAATTATTTTAGTTGTGGCAGGCATTGATTACCAGCCCTCCCCTGGAGGCAGCCACCATCTGGCAGAAGGGCACCCTTGCCATGAACAGAGGCCCAACGACTGCGGAGGGGCCATCAATCTGAGCCCCACTGATCACGAAGGGAGAATTGGACCCTCGGGGGCTGTGGGTGAGCAGCGTTCTCGAAAGGAGGCCACTGCCTGCTGCATGTTAACAACCTGGTTTCTCTCCCGCCCCCAAATCTTCTTGCAGAACTATTTCCGCGACACATGGAACATCTTTGATTTCATCACTGTGATTGGCAGCATTACAGAAATTATCTTGACGGATAGCAAGGTGAAGCCTGTTTCATTTGCCTCCCCTTTGCGGGAGCTCCGAGTTCAGGGCTGGGTGTGAGGGCTCATTCTCAGATTTCATTTAATGGATTGATCTTGCTCTTCCTCTCTCTCCTCTCTCTCTCTCTCTCTCTCTCTGATATATGTGTATTAAGTTGGTAAATACCAGCAGCTTCAACATGAGTTTTCTGAAGCTATTCCGGGCTGCCCGTCTCATCAAACTGCTTCGCCAGGGTTATACCATTCGAATTCTGTTGTGGACGTTTGTGCAGTCATTCAAGGTAATCAGAGATTTCTCGTCTTCTGCCTGAGGTTAATGAATGGCTGGGGGCAATGAGCCCTTTGAACGTTGGGTACATGTTCTCGGCGAGCTTCAGCACAAATCTTTGCTGGGCTTTGATGCTCTGAATCAGAGAGTCAGCCATCCATAAAGTTTGGAGCATGGTCTGGAGAAGGGGAAGCTCTTGGAGAAGTTTGCAGTCCAGGGAGCTGCTACGATGAGTTATGCCCACCCAGGAAGTACCGTAAGTAGAAGTCTACTGCGGGAGCGATTTCTAGGTGTGTGATCAAGATGTCTGCCCTAAGAGCTCTGTGGGATCAGACCAAACCCTTGTCTAGTTCAGCCTCCCTTTTCTCACGCTGACCAGTTTCCTGCAGGTGCCTACGGGAAGTCCTCCAGCAAGACAGTCTTACCAAGGCCTTCCTGCTTGCAGGTGGAATGTGCGGACCATTCCCAAGAGCCAAGAGGCAGCCCATTTTAAAAGAAATGCAAGCAGAAGATATGCCATGTTCAATAGGATCACATTCCACTGGGCCTTTATTTTGCAGCTGTGGGGCTGTGAGGCCTCCTGCTCTGTCCCTGCCGCAGATGTGATGCCAAAGCGTTGCCCCTATTCATGACCCTCGACACTGATCCTGCATTTCACTGCATTATTCCTTCCTCCCTGACAGCAGAAGCCGGAGACAACCTGATAGCGCTTAACAGCAACAGGAGAAATTCCAGAATGGGTAGAAACGCTCCTTCCTAGAGGAGGCCGAGAGGTGGAGTTCCGTTATGCCAGCTCTGCTGTCTTGCCTTTTCCCAGGGTTAAGCATTTCGACTTTCAGGGTGACCCAGAAGGGCCAAATGGCAGTTTGTGAGCAAGGAGGACCGCTTGTGCAAGGGAATTGGCGGGGTGTAAGAGACGTGGCAAGGGTGTCAGCGTTCTGCTGAAATCTGCCCATATAGTTTATTTAGCTATCCATCCTTTGTTAGCTTTCCAGTATTTGGCAGAGAATGTCCCAGCAGTTCTAGGCAACCAGGTGAGCCAGACTGCCTCGTTCGTACGGAAGTCAAACGCTTCTGCCTCTGCCTTTTTTGGCCATTTCGCAGTTATTCAGTGTCAGCTACCTTGGGCCTCTTGTCAAGTCAGCAAAGAAGGATAGAGACGTTTTAAATAGATAAATATGATGCGCGGAATGAAACAGGCTCTTGCTGTGTTCACACTTTGCAGGCCCTGCCATATGTCTGTCTCCTCATTGCGATGCTGTTCTTCATTTATGCAATAATCGGGATGCAGGTAAGCGATCGTCCAGGAAGGCTCGCTCTCACCACGTAAAAGAACTAGGAAAACATGGGCGAGATTTAAGGACAGAACCCACTGAGCCGCTAGTTGTCGTAGAATAATGATACTTAAGGCCAGGTGCTCAAAGGAGATGGTGTTCCAGACTGCAGGTGGCTGGATCCTTGCTCCCACAGCACTGTTCTTCCTCCTGGGGAGTTAATCCTATCAAGAACCGAACTGGTTCATGAGCTGGATAAACCCTTTTCTTTCGCACACAGCCCTAAGTGTTAACTTAAGATGTTATGACTAGTGCAGATTCTGTTCTTGTCTAGAGGCAAGTGCTTCTTTTGCGTGCGGTGGGTGAGAGGTACTGTAACGCCATACGAAATCCAGGAACCGCTATTTGCCCACGTCTTGTAAAAGTGAGGGTAAGGGTGATGGCGTGCAGGTTAGAGAAGCTCGTGTGGCACAGGAACAGTCTGCCTCCCCTCCTCTCCTGTCTCTACAACTTCCAAGAACACGCTGCAACACAGAAGTCTCTGCTGGTGCTCCATGACATGGAGCTGCAGTGTAACATGTAGTTCAACCGCATGTTTAACCATGCTGGCTAAAAGGGAGGGAAACGCTTAGAGAATTAAAGGAGATTTCCATCTACCTTGCACGCCAACTGTGATGGTTTCATTTGCCCCTCTCTCATCACAACTTGAAGAGGGGAGAAATCAGTCGTCCTCATAGTGTCCTGCCCTTCTGAGTGCTCACGTCTCTGTGTGTCTCCAGGTTTTTGGGAATATCAGATTAGAAGAGGACAGCCACATTAACCGCCACAACAATTTCCGCAGTTTTCTAGGTTCACTCATGCTTCTTTTCAGGTAAATGCTTTTAAATTCATGCGGGGATCCAGTGAGACGTTTGTTCAAAAAGCAACATGGGGGGTTCCCGGTGCAATGTCAAAAAGCCTTCGGAAGCTTGCCGGAGAAATCACTCAGGAATTACTCAGTACAAAACCACACCACCTGCACACACTCACACTCAGGCGCACACCTTTTGCTGAACTGCGTCCAGCTCGGCAAAGTGCAGGTTAAGCAGGACAGCCGTACTGCTCCTCAGAAGACTTGTCTCCAATTCATCTTTTGAATCTTTCTCTGTTCTTTACCTCCTGAGATTGCTGGAAACTCTTCAAAGGGCAGTGGGACTCTGAAGGGAATCTTGGACAACGTGTGTGCTCTCTGGTCTTGAGGGAGAGGACAGGCACAGCAAGCAAGAGTTGTAGGCTCCTCTTTCAGGGAATTACCAGATCGTTTGCATCAGGACCGCTGCCTCAGATTAACCTTTTTATTGCCAAAGTGAGCATCACAGCTGTCTTGCAAGAAAGCCCACCCAAACCTCCAAATACTTCTTAGAGATATTTTTAGTGAAGAGGAACTAAAGAGCCTCATGATGAGGGTGAAAGAGGAGAGCACAGAAGTTGGCTTAATGAAACTCAACCTTAAGAAGACTAAGATCATGACATCTGGTCCTATCACTTCCTGGCAAGTAGATGGAGGGGAAATGGAGGTAGTGACAAATTTTATTTTGCTGGGCTCCAAGATCACCACAGACTGTGACTGCAGCCAAGAAATTAAAAGACGCTTGCTCCTGGGGAGGAAGGCTATGGCAAATCTAGACAGTATACTAAAAAGCAGAGACATCACCCTGCCGACTTCGTATAGTCAAGGCTATGGTTTTCCCAGTTGCAATGTATGGCTGTGAGAGTTAGAACATAAGGAAGACTGAGTGCCGAAGAATCGATGCTGAGAGTCCCTTGGACTGCAAAGAGATCAAACCTGTCAATCTTAAAAGAAATCAACCCTGACTGCTCTTTTGAAGGTCGTGTACTAAAGCTGAAGCTCAAATACTTTGGCCACCTAATGAGAAGGAAGAACTCACTGGAAAAGATCCTGGTGCTGGGAATGATTGACAGCAAAAGAAGGGGCAGCAGAGGATGAGGTGGCTGGGAGGGGTCCGTGGGGTGGTGGGTGTGGGCGTGGGTGGACTCTGGAGATGGTCGAGGACAGGAGAGCCTGGAGGAATGTTGCCCATGGGCACAACGTTGTGACTGAACAGCAACAAAGTGAGATATACACTGATTAAAGAAATTAATTACACTAAATAGGCTAATTAGATGCAGAGGCGGGACGTTCTGTACACCTCCAAAATCTGATTGGATCGTATTATAAGTCGTATCAGCTTTCTCCCTCTATTGTCTAACTGAATGTAATAAAGTTTGAAATTAGTGATGATCCAGTGATATAAGTACTCTGCTCAGTTTAAAGGTTGTTGAGGCTGTTGGGAAGTAGTATTTGCAATTGCTTTGGAAGACTGGCCAGTATGAAAATTTCTGGGCGATATGCCAGCTGCATGGGAGTGTGAAATCCTTGTAAATGTGCTCAAAATTCACCCTGATTTGTCAAGCCATCCAAACCGAGTTTGTGTAGGTTTGCCACTTCATCCACCACCTCTCCAAAAACAAACTGTTCACGGAGACGCGGTGGGCCTTTCTATGCAAGATATTAATTGTGCTCTCAGCATCTCTACTCAAAATTGCTTGCAAGTTCTTTAGATGATATTGTGGCATTCCAATTTCACTTCTGTATCTAAAGAGCCCTTTCAGCAAGCCTGTTTGCAGAGTAGGGATAATGAGTCATTTAATTGCGAAAGTAAATGAAAGCATGATTTCCCCTTCTGTAGCTGAGCTGGTCCTCCCTGTCACAGCACCACCTAGAGCTTATGAGGCAGAAAAGCCAGAAAGGAACAAAACCGAAAGCAGAGACAGTAGATGAGCAACCTAGTGCCAAATGCTCCTGAAACAGCAGGCGTTGTTCTGTCTAACATTAACCGACGCTGCAAGAGCAGGGGAGACAGCTCAGGCATAGCAGCACATTTTCAGGGGGAATCTCTTTTGCACGGATGCAGGAGTGCCACAGGGGAGGCATGGCAGGAGATCATGCTCTCGTGTCTGGAAGGCAAAGGATGCGAGCGAGACACCACCGCCACATCTGGGCAAAACGTGAACGAGCGCTGTGGCACGGATCTGGCGTACGTTTACTTTGTCTCCTTCATCTTCTTCTGCTCCTTCTTGGTGAGTTCCCATTTCCCTCTTCGTACCCCCAGGTTGCTGACACATCTGTGTGCACAGCCCCTGACTAGGGGGAAGGTGGCGTGCAAAGGGATCCAGCGTGATCCCGAATTCTTGGCTCCGCTGTCACCAGCCTGGCTGAGAAAGCTGCATATTGCTACCTGTTGTTGGTGGTGTTCTGTGCCATCATTTCTGATTTAGGCCAACCTATGAATGAAAACCCTCCAGAATGCCCTATTCGTGACAGCCCTGTTCTGTTCTTCTGCATTCAAGGCTGTGGCTTCCTTTACAGATTCACTTCCTCTGATTTCTGGATACTGATATTACATGCTGTTAAACAAACCTGATCCTTATCCAATGTACAACACAGGGAAAGAATCTTGCTCTCCCTCTTTCAGCGTGTTGCGTAGCCACTTTCCTCTAAGTTTCTACATTTGTCTCTCCCCATCCTTGTCTGTCTTCTGTCCCACTTCCTTGCTCCAAGTGTGAACCCTGAAGGAAGCTCAGTGGGTGGCGGCGGCGGGGGGGGGCTTTCTCTGCGGTGCCTCCCCCCTGTGGCCCACCTGGCCCCAACCTTGCCATCTTTTCAGCACCAGGTCAAGACTGCCCTTTATGCGGAGGCCTGTAAAATCCCCAGGCGATTCTTTTCCTCTGTGGGGTCATTCTTACTGCGTGTCTTCTAGCTGTTTTAAAATCATTTGCATTGTTTTGTTTTTATATTTGCACTGTCTGTTCCTTTTTGCTTACGCACCGTTGAAAAGCACCCAGGGAGCTTCAGCTATGAGATGGCATAGAAATGAGAATAAGAATCTCTCCCCCTCGTTATGCCTTGGTCTTGCTTCTTCCATCCATAGATGCTGAACCTCTTTGTGGCCGTCATCATGGACAATTTCGAATACCTGACTCGAGATTCCTCCATCCTGGGACCGCATCACCTTGATGAATTTGTACGGATTTGGGCAGAATATGACCGAGCTGCCTGGTATGTAGACACACCCTGCTTGGAGGACCTTTGCAAAGCCTGTTGAGCTGTGACTCCCGAGTCAAACACAGATGGGCGGAAGGGCTTTTCTCTGTCCCATAGATTTGAAAAGTACTTGTGCAAAGCCCCAGCAAAGTGGCTCCCGGCAAAAATTCGGAGTCTGGATAGATTTAATCGAGGGTTAAGAGCAATCTATGGAAAAATAAAGCATCAGAGGTCCATAAGTTCTGTGGTTTTGTATCCTATAGCCGTGGTTTTGCAAGCTGCCTCTAAATCGAAGCAGGCAGGCCATTCCTGTTGCCTGCTCCAACTACACGTGTGTTTCCTGCGTGGTAGGAATGACAGGGACACATTCTTTGCTGAGTGTGCAAATACACTGCTAGCCGTGCATAAGCAGGGCTTCCCGTTGGACGCAAGTGTTTAAGGATGAGTGCCTGATAGTCATTTCTGATGTGGCATCGTTTTGGGTTACAGCATGCCAACAGGGACACGGTTTCAGAACACTTCTCAGACCATTTCTGGCAGGAGCAGCCATCCTGTCACCGAACGTCAGGGACACACCCAAACACGCACCCCAGATGTTTCAAGAGCGCTTTGGAGAACTTGCTTTCCACTTTGTCTCCCATGGGGTTTTCCTTATACGTGTCCACACGTGATAGTGCTTGGCCTGAACTTGCTCAGACACTGTTGTGATTCCAGGTAGCCCACCTCAAATCTCCCATCAGAAAGCTTGACAGGTTCGTTCTTTCTCCAGCTGGCATTGGGGCCCTCTAGGGTTTAGAGTTCGGCAAATATGGTGGCCACTTAAAATCTGTGTGCCTGTTCACATCCATAGGGAAAAGGCGATTATCTTTGGAACTCTTACAATCCTGGAAGTTCACTAACTGGACAGAATCTGTCTTTGCACGCTCAAACTCTGGTGCTGTTGTGTTCTGTGATTTCATCCAAGCTGCTGTTCTCTTGATAATATTACTTCACAGTGTGACCTCTCACACTTTCTTATCCAGACTAGATTTTTCTCTTCCTTTCCAATGATATCCTCTAAAGTCTTAACATCCAACGCACAACATGGATTGGAGAGAGCAGATCTCCTCTGGAGGCAGATCTGAAGCATAAAATCAGAAGAATCTCCTAGCTCTTGCTGGGCTTCATCAGTTTGCACTACATGTTGAGAGGTTGTAGTCCTTAAATGTTGTCCATTAGCATGGACGGGGAGCGGCCCACTCTGACCCTCTGCGGAGTAGTTTTGTGCACGCCTCTCCTTCCAAACTTGTGAGTATTTTCCTTAATTTGGAATGGTGGAGGGCACCAAAAGCTGCCACATTCTCTTGCTCATGGGTCCCAGTTCTCAGATGTGCATGCATGGCACATTTCTGGGATAACCTGCACAAGGTTCTGAGCATTTCAGACCACATCCTAGAAACAGAGTGGTGTGCACTTAGATAAACTATGAAAGAAAGAATTTGGAATTGCAGTGCTCCAAACAGCCCAAGGAAGGATTGTATTTTGCTGGAACAGTTCTGTGATTCTAGCAAGCAATAGACACTTAGACTAGCTTTGCTTTTACTTTTATAAGCTACTTTAAGGGAGGGAGGGAGGGAGGGGGAATATGTGGCACTTTCATGATGATTATGTTTATTGTGTTAAGGGATTTCAACAGCAAGCGCCTATAATGCAGCTCAGGAAGGAAATTAAGTCTCCAGGTTGTGCCTCAATAAATATATGCATCATCAAGGTGCTGCAGGCTAGTCTTCTAAATTTTGTTTCTCATTTAGAAGCTGTTGACTGTTCTTTCACTGGTACCACTTTAGTTGCTCATTTTAAGCCAGGAAACCATTGTTATTTTCTTGAATGTTCTAGAAAAACAGAAAATTGGATTTTTTCCCCCCTAGCTTACATTTTCTCTCACCCCCAACCCCATATATTCCCATTAAATTTCCTATAGCAAACCTATTAAACAGGTGTTTTGCTAGGCCTGACTTTAAGAGCCATTGGGCTTTGGTGGAATTATGGAGGATCCACCTTCCTCACTGGAACTTGCTTGCTGTGCTTAATGGGCCCAATACAAACATGTACATATAATTGTTGTACTTCTACACTGAAGCGTCATTTAAGACCCCAACATAGTTTGTCCTGCCCTTTCACTGATCGGTTAAGGAGGCAGACAGTGTGCAGACAGGAAGAAAACTAGTATGTCAAAGAGAAGAAGTCCAAAACACCTTCAGGAGGCGCCTTGGCCATACATTCCGCCTCACCAGCTCAGGTCCTCTGGGCATAATCTTCTGATGCCTGCTTCTGCTGTAAGATTAATGTCGACTAGCCAGAGGACTTTTCCAGTGGTTGCCCCTAAGCCATGGAATGGTCTTCTAGGAATGAGGCATCTGATTTCCAGAATTCCCACCTTTAAGAGGGAACGAAGAACATGCCTTTTCCAACAGGCCTTCCCAGGTTAGTTCTCATGTCAGTTTTATTTGAAATTTAATATGATTTAAATTGCCCAAAACCTATTGGAACGGAGCAGCATATAAAAAATTTAAATAAACAAATAAAAGAAGGAGTCTAGCCTTCTCTGACTGACATGCTAGCTCGCTCACACACAGAGGTGTGAATGTCGCACTCCTGTGAATCCCCACTTGGAGCCTTGGTGAAGATTTATCAGCTCAGTGCTAAATAGGTTAAGATGGGGAAACAGGATTAACTATTGTGAACGACTTCAGGGTTTTGCACAGAGAACTGAGACATCATTTGCCAGCTATGAACACTTGCAGGGATGGAGAAGGAGTAAGCTTGCAAGTCAGCTTCACTGCGTTGTGCGATGCACAGAAGGGGCAAAATCTTTCCCTCCTTGCAGCGGCCACAGCGGTAGCATTAAATATAAGGTGGCTCTCCTATTCCTGTCTCTGGTCCGCAGCTCATTTCAGGAGATAGAAATGACTGGATGTGTTGGGCTGGTCCAGTGATGCCAGCTCAAGTTTCGGTTCTGTACTCTTTTCTTATTATCACTGTGCAAAACTGGGCAGCGATTTTATATCTCTGCACATCATGTTAGACACTCACAGGCCGACATGAAATAGATGCAGGACCTCCGCATCACAGCGGTAGCTTGAAACATATCTCAGCAGCGGACTGTGCAAAAGCACTTGCTTCTCAGATCGGGGCCATTTTAGCTCTTTCATGTCCTTTTTGTTGGCACATACGATACGATCAGCTCTGCTACTCTGAACCCATTTCCCCATGATATATCCTCCTCAGCAGAATGAGTCGGAATAGAAAAGGCGATAGCTATATTTTTTACAGGGGGTGGGGACCATTCAGAGCCTCTTCCTAGTGGGAGACGGGAGGAGAAAGAAACGCAACTTGGGTGCCACAAGTTACACACCTGACTCCGCTTTCCCGTTTCTTGAGCAGCCCTATTAACCCACCTGTGTTTCCTTTCCAGTGGCAGGATCCTGTATAAAGATATGTACAAATTAGTACGGGTGATCTCGCCTCCTCTGGGCCTGGGAGAGAACTGCCCCTGCAGGGTGGCTTGCAAGGTTTGCCTCCCACCCCCCAGCCACGCCCCAGTCACAGGGACATCCATCACACCCTTCCCTTCCTCCCTGCTCCACACCTCACAAGGGAACCCTAGCATCGCTTTCCTTCGAGTTTAAAGAGATTCGAGTCTGCTCAGAACCAGCAGCTGTAACAGCCAGGCAGGGCTCAGGAAACACATTTTGGTTCTCGGCCTAAATTGCAAATGCATTCCCAGGTTGGTCCTCCAGAATGGAACGGGAGCGTGTTTGATTTTTGCGGGCTGCCTGTCTCCCGTGGCACAGACAGGTTGTTTGGGAGTGCTTCCAAGTTTGCAGCCCTGCAGACTTCCTGTCTTTCAAGCGCGCTTTCAAGGGCTGAAGAAGTACGCAAATCAGAAGGATGTGGCGTGGTAGGGGGGGAAGAATAAGTTGCTGTTATTACTTCACTTCTGTTCGGAAGGGCAGCTTTAAGGAGCTACAGAGCTCGACTTGTGAACACTCGGAATTTCAGTGTCGGGGACCCTCAGAGATAATGTAACCGTGCCATTCGGCTGGCCAGACGCAAGCAACCTGCCCTGTTTTCACTGAGACGGGATCTTGCATCTGGCTTGCTCTATTTCAGATAGTAGGCAGGGAGGTCATCATTGCTGGATGCTCCTCAGTCCAAAGAGATCCCTCACATAGGACGCTAGCATATCATATCGGGAAGGAGGCTGGCCTAGAACTCTCCTCATCAATATCCAGTTCTTCATGCAAAGGAAAGTATTGTGTTCAGAGAAGCACTTCATTTCACTGAAGTGGTGTGGTTCTTATACTGGCTTCCCATCTCATTATAAACAGACAAAAAACAAGTCATTGAGATATCCCCATTTTTACCCTGTATACAAAGACTCACGTGCATCCACAATAGATTCTTTTTAACCTGGCTTAACTAGGCTAGGGTTTTCTCAGTTTCCGTAAATTACCGGTTCCACTCATACGGGTCTTGAAAGGCTTGCTTAGTCATTTGTTGAGCCTAAATTGTGGCCTTGCCATTTCAGCCTGTTCTGGCAAAAATAGCAAACAAACAAACAAACAGCTTAGTTTCTGGGTCTAGGGACTAGGATCAACATGGTTCTATCCTTGGCAGTTTTATATACTTCAGACTAGAAAATGGTATTTCTGTGTACATAAAACTGGCCATCAAGTCCGTAAGAGAAACTGGCTCTTTAATGGGTAAAGGAACCCTCAGCTCTGCGATTTGCCCCTTTGACCCTCACAGAATGTGTTCCTGAAGTTGATTCCAAGTAATCTCTAACACAGTTAAGCAAATGACTTCTGAGATGAGAGACCCACACAGATTAGTTCATTATCCAAGCTCCACATAGATGCCTAGTGCTTTCAACCTCCATATCAATGATTATCTTACTCATTCTATTAAGAGAGAGAATACATTGGCACATCACACCAATCATGGGCTGGTTGTTGACTAAAGAACCACAGTGCAACTGACAGACAGTTGGGCTCCCCGTGGGTTGTTTGCCCCTTCCCTTCCCCTCCTTCCCCTGGACCCCTCCAGTAATAGGACTGACTTATCTTTCCCCGTCCTGCCCCACCTCATGAGCTATTTTTGGCTCCTCACACTTTTGTGTTATATCCCTTTTTTGGAGGGGGAGATTTGCAAAACCCAGCTCGACAGCTGTTTTTTGTGATTCCTGTTTTGACAGCTGCTGACAGCCCCTTCAAAGTGCCAGAGTGGTTCTGTGAAGGGCTGGCAGATCATTTCCTTAAAAAAAAATCTGTACACAGAAGGTCTGCAAATATGTTCATTCTTTTTTTTTTAACTTAACCACACTTGTACAACATGTTGCCCTGAAACAAGCCACCCTGCAGGTTCTGGTCTGGGTTTCCATGCCATAATAGCTATCCGTGATGAGCTGTCATGTTGAGCAAACCCCATCATGGTACGCTCTTGTTATACGAACATGCTAGAATAAATTGAATTGAATTGAAATTGAATGATTAGAATAAATAGTAATTATTGTAAGCCATCCTGAGACATTTTATCGCAAAGGACGGGATAAAAATGTTTTAAATAAATAAATAGTTTCTTCTGAAATAAGAAAGAGGCTATATAAGAGAATGCAACCACATTGATGTCGATGGCCAATGATTACCAAATTTTGCCTATTGTAAAGAAAGCTGTCTGTAATACATCTGTGCTGTGCAAACAGAATCTGTTTCAGCTCTGGAAAGTAAATGTGCCATCCTTCTGTACTTCTTACTGGTCTACTTCTAGGGCACCCTTCCTGCAGTGTAGCCTTACTGCAGTTCACCCTTCCTTTACTGCAGTGTAGCCTTACTGCACTTTTGGGCAAAGATGGCCATGAAACGATAGCTTCTGCTCAGTGGCCTGTCACCCAGTGATATCAAGGTTCTTTAGAAGGCAACTATCCAAAGCATGTTTTATTTCTTTCTTCCCTGCTGTTGTCCTTGGAGGCACTTCACGAGTTCCCTGCCAAAAGCCTCACCACAGCAAGGTGAAAATGTTGTTAGTGCCTGCTTGCGTAAAAAACAAAAACAGACAGTTTCCACCACAAGCTTTCCCCTCATCTCACAGGCTGCCCACGTTGGCTTTCTCACTAAACATCCAACTCTTCAACACATCTGAACCTTCCAGAGCCAAAGCAAATCCAGGCGTTGCCTCGATTGCGGTGCAGAAGCATCAAGTATAAGAAGGTGCTTCTTGCATTCCACGGCAGACATTGCTGGCAGAAGTGTTACGAGTGGCTCCCACAGAGCGTGTGCAGGAGACTCTGGATCATGCAGAGGCATTGGAAGCATGTGGGCTCGCTCCCACTTCTCAGCAGCAGTGGGAAACGTGTCCTGCCGCGGTTGCCTCTTGCACAGATATTTCCTTCCATCCTTACACACTTCTAGCCAGCAGGAGAGAGAGCCTCTTGAAGTCTGTCGGTTTCTATTCATGGGCTGACCACTTGCCCAGCCATGAAGAGCAAGAGGTCACTGGGCAACCTGACCCTTGCCTATTTTTCATCTCCTGTGGATAGCACTTGACCAAATTTTCACCAGTTTTTGGCTCTTCTGTCATTCTGGAAACAAAGGGAAGCTTATCTGGGTTTTCTGTAGTCATGCCAATCAAATTAAACCAGCCACATCCCCTTGTATTTTAAATTCACTTGTTGTTCCACAGTACTTTGTGGTCCCTCTCAAGCTCTGCTCTCCTTTTTCTTGCAAGATTTACAGCAAGACCTCAAGGCTGTGATTCGCTTCGTTGCTCATGCCAGTACTGAATGTGATTCCCATTCTGAAAGGCTTCACTCTGAGAACTCAGGACTATGGAGCTTGAAACAGGGAAGGGGGGAAGTTTAACAAATTCCAAAGTATCCATCTTGCTTTGAAGATAGCAGTTTTACGAAGTGGCTGTGTTGAAGCCTGTGATAAAAGCATGCCAGCCAGCCAAGCTTTCCTCCTGCGGAAACATCCCCATAACAACTTTTAAATGTGTCCAAGTCACTTTGAGGTCCGGACAGTTTGCACATAACACCAACTATGGAGCCCTGCCTCTCAGCTGCTTCTCATTTCCACTTCAGTAAATATTTCCCAGCACCCTGGATGGTTAAGGGAGAAAGAATGCAGAGTTTTAACCCATGGTTTGTTGATGGGCAAAACCTGGGTTGTCTCTCCCTCAACCATCCAGAGTACCTGGGTTTGGATTTCACGCCAAGCAGCCCAGGAATGGGACATATTTGGGTCATTTACCAAAGCAGAAACAAAGTGGAAGGGGCAAGCCATTGGGGGCAGCATGTCCACCTTTCCTGCACAGTCACAAATAATCCAGGTTTAAATAAACCACCATCGTTGTGGCTTGTGCACTGGTTCAGCGTGTCATTTGGCAGGGCAACAGGCCGGGCTTTTTAAATTAAAAGCAAAATAAAGCAGGGAGGAAAGAGGACAGTTTGGGGAAATTGATTGACAAAAGGTACAGTAATTAAGCGCACTGCCCAAATACGGAGGTAACCGCAATTAAGTATCTAGGTAGAATCAGTGTTGTTTTCACAGCTGGAAAGCAATCCGATGTTTAAGCATCCTCTCCGTGTTCATCTGCTCCGAAGATTTTAGATGAGCCTGGAGAATTCCCTTAAGAACTAGCAGGCAAGGCTCAGCCTGCCATCTCACCTTGGGGGAGGCGAGAAACCCGGAGCAGTGTTTAATGTAAGCCTGGCACGGGCAAAGTTTCACTTCACGTAGGTGCTTGACTATGCCAGCCCCGGAGTCCATTTTGGAAACCTTTTTGGAGGAACGGAAGACTTGCTGGTGGACCCTCCCCTGGCGTTTTCTCCGGGTGTTTTTGCTTCACCTGCCAGCAGGCAAGAGAAGTAATCTGTGAAGAAAACATGCTGAGAGGTCTACGTTTCCGGCTTGCTGGTCCCCAGGCTTATAGCAAGGTTAAGGATTCCAGAAGGAGCTCCCAGATCAGAGAATGGGATTTTCCATGAGATTGGAGCCCTGGTGCCTTTTAGACACGAAGCACTGACGCTAGGCTGGAATGCTGCAGCTAGGAAGTGACCCCCCGTTGCTTTGAAATGGGGGGTCCAGATGAAACTGGGCCTTGCGAAGCCAAACAGCTGCCTCTGTGAGACTCTTTAAACTCCGGCCGGGTGGAACTTGAAGCCGCATGTGAGAGAGAAGTGGGGGGGGGAGGGAAGGAGGGGGCCGGGGAGCATGGCATGAGGACTTCTCTTCTTGCTTTTGTTTTCTGAGCTCCTTAGCATGCCTTTGCACCAGTGCATGCTGGGCCAGTGCTCCATCCCCAGAGCCGGATGGAAGCAAACGGATGCCTTCCTTTGACCAGTGACCCCCGTCTCACTGCCCTCCTATGCAAGATGCCGCTTTCTGCTGCGTACGCACTGCCAGAGCGGGGGGTACATGCCACTTCAGCCACGGGTTATGCCACTACAGGAATGGCAGGACTGACAGACACCCCTGGCAAGAGTCGCGGGGAGCAACTCTGGTTCTGCGCCCCTCCATCTCTCCTGAATAACCCCTCGTTGGAGTGTTGTGTATCTTGATTTATACCACTTGCACACAGTCCGAGGAGCCGGCCGGGGCGGGGGCTGCCCCTTCCAGAAAAGAGGAGCCGCCCGGAGCGTCAGCCGGGATCCCAGAGCGCAGGCGGATCGTGCTGGCAGCATTCCTGGGCCTGTGTGAGCAGTGCTATAAATCCTCATCAACACAGGCTGTCCTGTATGATTTGCATTGATTAATGGGTCTTCTGTTCTTTTCCTGTTTTGTCTGTTTTTTATTTTGTTTCCTCTCTTTTGTTCCCTGTGTTCTGTTCTGTTTCGGGGGTTTGGTCTCTGGGAATGCCCTTTTTCCGTTTCTCTGCATCCCCCCCCCGACCCCCTGTCCCCTCTGTCCTCTTTCCCCTCCACGAGCAGTGGCCGCATCCATTACACTGAGATGTATGAAATGCTGACCCTCATGTCCCCACCACTAGGCCTCGGGAAGAGATGTCCCTCCAAAGTTGCATATAAGGTAGAACAACCCTTCTTTCCTTCGTGGGCTACTCTCAGTGAGGAACGGGAAAGGCCGAAGCACGGGATAGCGGGGCAGAAGGCGGTGGCTTGGTGCATTTGAGGGTTATTTGTACCCAGCTGTGCTCACATCTTACGCCTAGTAGTCAGATGTGTGCTGCCGGAAGCAGAGCTCGTTTGCAAGGGCTGGCCCTGCCACCAGAGTTAAGGCTGCCCCTTTTCGCTGTAGGAAACAGGTGGGCGTGATTTGGTTTAGCTCAGGGATGGGGAATGTGTGGGTCTTTGGATGTGGCTGGACTGCAGCTAGCCAACATATGGTGAAGGATTGTGGGAGCTGTAGTCCAAGAACATCTGGAGGGACACCCATTAGCCATCACTGGCTTAGCTCCCGGCCCTAAAACGGTACCAATGGTAATGTAAGGGAGAATCTTTGCAAAGAAATTTTAGCTTGGGAGATAGCGTGGATAATTGTCGCCATATTGGCTCCAAACATTCCATTGCAAAGTGAATGTTTTGCGTGTATGAGAGTCCAGAGTCCAGGGCTGGAATTGGGCCCTGCCAGAGATCACAGAATGCCACTGCCTTTTAGAGTAGACTTGCCCAGATGAGTCGAGCCAATGGGATGACTCAGGTTGGAGCAGCTTATACTGATCTTAGACCACGTCCTCATGATGCAAAGCTGCTTAAGTATCCGTGGCTGCAGACATGCGCAAGGGAACTTGGAATAAATCCTACTGAGGCTAGTAGAGCTGCCTTCAAGAATGCATGTACTAGTTTGCATTTGAATCATAGAAAACTCTTCTGCCTGATAACGAGTTGGAACCTGAAACCTCGCTGTACTTGACTGATAGAAGCTGGTCCAATAAGAGACAAGACTCTTTCACTGCTGTGAACAAAATACAACTAATTCCCTTGCGTAAGAGAAGAAGTCTAGAATAGAGCACCTGTATAGGAAGAGAATGGGAGGGAGCAATGCCGTCCCAGTTGGCCAGTGGGAATATAGGGACAGATGGAGGATGGCATGCTCATCAGCTTGGCGTCTTCCCAGTGGAGCACTTGACTTACCATTTTGCATGGCCTGCTCAGGAAAGAGGAAGCCTGGCACGGAGGTCAAGCTAGAGAAGGCCCTGTGAGTGTCGCGGTAGCATTAATTAAATGGTCTTTCACCCTTCGTAGTAATGGAAGGAATCTGCAGACCAGGTTCTTGGGAGATGTGACCTGACAGGAGACTCACTGGGTAGGAGAACACCCACTGGAACGACTGGCACGCCTGGATGCATCCAGTTGCAGGGTTGTGGCCAAAATGTCCAAGTCTCAGATCCTGGAAGGCCAAGTTCAGATGCTACAAGAGAGGAATGCTCAATCACAGCCTTCGGGGCCATTGCACAGGCGTGTCCACCTATGGCTTCTCTCAGGTCTCCTTCCACGTGCATGCGTTCAGAAGCACAGGGTCCGTTTCCCTGCCTCCTCCTATGCACATGGAAACTGTCTGAGCTGGTGCCTTGCCTGATGTCTCTGGGCACGCGGTGCTCCCGGAGAGCGCAAGAATTAGGGTGGTGGGTGTGGCTGGGGAACAAGGAGAGGTGCAGAATATACCCAAAGCAGTATATACTCTCTGGGAAGTGGATTTGGCCATTCTGTTTGCCCCCTGGGGGTAAAGGAGCATGACCCACCCACGCCTGCCTTGGTCATTGGTCTCTCTTCATTTGCACTTTATCTCCCCTCTCTTCAGCCTCAGATAAGTTGGACCCATTGCATGACCAATCATGTGCTGCCAAACATGAGATCTGCATTCTTTAAACAATCTCAAAAAGGGGGCGCCAGGATGTAGCGAGGTAGCGGGCTTCTTAAAAGAGCCTTGCGTTTTCGAGCCACCTGAGATGCAACAGTCAAAGGAACTGAAAAGCAAAACCAACCAACCAAAGCTAAAGCGGCTCTGAATTGGAGATGCCAGTGCCCTGGGGCCATCTCTCCCCGTTCAGTAAAAGGACAGTGCTCTTGCGGGGGTGTGATCTGAGTCAGTGGGGACGGAGGGGGCGATCCTTGCCCTCCTTTTTGGCTCTCCTGTTTGCTGCCTTCGAAGCATTCTTCCCCATCCCCCTGATACATTTTCGATATTCTTTCCTGCCTGCTTCCCCTCCCTGCCCGCCCCCATTTTCTTGTGCAGAGATTGGTCCTGATGAATATGCCTGTTGCTGAGGACAACACGGTCCATTTCACTTCCACCTTGATGGCTCTCATCCGAACAGCCTTGGATATCAAGATCGCAAAAGGTAAGGCAGCGAGGCAGCGGGATAGGGGAGGTGGACAGGCAGCTAAAGCAGAAAGGCCCCATTAGCGATTGGCTAGAAGCCTTGCCCAGAGTCAGAATAGACCTGAGTTGTCGAGAAGCCTGAGCTGTGCATGGGAAATTGCAGGCATTCCTCGTGGTGTTCGAGCAAATTGGATCTTGACACAGCCATCATAGCTCAGAGTAGGCTGGGTGAAGATGTGCATTGTCTTTTAAAGGTGCCATTCCATGCATGTTTAGCCAGAAAAAATAGTCCTGCAGCTCCTGGCATACTCCGTCCAGCATGTCTTTGTGGTCTCTGCATGCACACGATGCACCCCAAGAGATGAGCACCCTCACTGCCCTGGCACACGCCTCCTTTTTCCGGTCCTGGAGCAAGCCCTGATAAAGAGCAAAAAATATAAGGGCTCTGCACATGGATTTGGACCAGCTGGTGCGGTTCTTGGCAACGCTTCTGTTGGAGCTGCGAGGGGGGCCTGTGGAGCAACACCCCCCCCCCCAGGACAGGGTCCGACCAGCTTGTGTCCATACACACGTATTTTTTCTTTTTAAAAGTAAAGTGGTATAGCCTCCCTGAGATGTAAAAGGGCATTGACATTAATCTAACCTTATTTTATTCATCTGTCTGTCTATTTAAAGTGTTTTATATGCCATTCAATACCAAAAGTCTCTGGACAGCTTACAAAGAACAAAAAACAAAGCAACCATATACAACAACACCCTACACACTGTATCCGATAAATGATAATAAAATCAAGGATAAAACCAATTAACTGTTAAAATATTGGGGAAATAAGGTATTTGCCTGACACTGAAAAGAATAGAGCAACAGGGCCAGGAAAACCTCCCTGGGGAACGTATTGCACAGTCAGGGGCCACCACTGAAAAGGCCCTTCTCCGAGTAGCTGCCCTCTTGTTTCCTTCAAAGAGGGCTTCTGAAGAAGAGCCTCTGCCTCCGATCTCAAGGGGGAGGCCGGCACACAGGGAAGAAGGTGCAGGAACAGGGCTGGTGGACACAGCTTCAGGTATCCGGACCCAAGCTGTTTAGGGCCTTATAGGTCATTGCCAGCACTTTAAATTGGGCCCGGACTTCAATTGGCAGCCAGTGTAAATGATATAGGACCGGCGTGATATGGGAGTATGGTCCCCGTTAATAACTTGGCAGCTCTATTCTGGACCAATGGAAGTATCCGGACTGTCTTCAAGGGCAGCCCCACGTAGAGAACATACCTCTGGTGAGCTTTGAAGGTGCTTCCAGTGTGTGGCCCGGTGGACAATGTCCGGCTTGGCCACCAGGGATCGATCCCTGCCCCTTCATGAAGCCCACCGTGTGGTCTTCCGGCAAGGTCTAGGCCGTCTTTGCGTCATCGTCACGGTGAGTTTCTGGAAGGAGAGGTGGGACACGGGGCATGTGGAACGAGCCCAGCAGCCTAGTCCGCCCTCTCTCCTTCTCTTGGCAACCAGCCGACCTCCTTTTCACCGGCTTTCTTTTAGGTGGGGCGGACTGGCAGCAGCTGGACTCTGAGCTCCAGAAGGAGATTCTGACCATCTGGCCTCACCTTTCACAGAAGATGCTAGATCTGTTGGTGCCCATGCCAAAAAGTGAGTCATTGCGTGGGGAAAACCGCGGGGCTGCCAGGTTCTGTGGAACCCGCACACATGCCTGATTTCCCACAAATGGGAAAGGACGGGAATGCAAACAAACCTCTTTCGCTGTGCCCCGATTCCAGCCAACCTGGGATTCCAGCACTTCATCTGGACTTCTCGCCTGCCCCATCCCTGGACCTAAGACAGGGAGTTCTGCCCTTTTAAAAGGGCGTAAAAAATAACCTTCTAAAATCCTTTCCCACCTGAGCCTCATTTATCGGTGGCTTTCAAAAATGCAAATGCCGTTCTAAGGATGCAGATAATGTAGTGGAGGGGCAGAACTGGGTTAAGGAAGCTGAGTAGCCCCAGGAAAACAACCCTGGTTTGCCTCTGATTTCCTGGTGACCTGCATTCACGACTTGGCAGCCCGAGTACCTGTGCATGCCTGCTCCAACTCCTAGCGCCCGTCCCTGGAGCAGTTCCCCCCAGCCTGTCCCCTGCTCAGTTTCATGTATCACAGGTAATGTGTAGCTTGCCTCACAGCCTGTGAGGAATGACACGTCCTTTATCCCGCTTTCTACAAACCTGTTATCACGGCTTAAGAGATCTATTTTGGTTAACATAAAAGGCTGCCTTTTCCTTCCAGCGACAGACCTGACAGTTGGAAAAATCTACGCAGCCATGATGATAATGGACTATTATAAGCAGAGTAAAGCTAAGAAGCAAAGGCAGCAGCTGGAAGAACAGGTACCGTTCGGCTGCAGTAAGACACGTGCCGTCCGGTTGCATTGGGGGCAAAGATGGGACATTCGGATTCTCCCAATTGTATGGCAGAGTTTAATCTGAATGGGTGTGGGCAGGTGGCAGTTATGTGCGCAAGAATTAGCAGCGACGCTTTGTAAACTGTTTAGGCCTTCAATATTCGAAAGGTGGTTTTCAATCCAATGTGTAAAAATAGTTTCTCTGGAACAATGACGAGAGTTTGTGTCTAGACAGGAGCTCTTGGGCAAAGCAGGGTCAGTTTGCGTGGAAAGGCGTACGTGAAGGAGGGAGTTGGGAGGTCATTGGCTCGCGCTGCCTCTTGACCCCCATGTGGTTCACGTTGTTTTTATGGGAACCCGAGCAGCATTCGTACCCTGAACTTTTGCTGCGTATGGTCCCCACTGGGAGCAGCGCTCCTACCGACACGAGTCCCTGAATACTGACCTGGAGGGCAGGGACTGGGCTGGCGGACGCAGAGCAACTGCGACATTCATTCCCAAATGAACGAGGATTGTGTAAACGGGTCAGATGGTTGGGAGCTCTTCACCACTGGATGAAAAACTAGTCAAGCTGCAAGTTCAATGTGAATGCGGGGAACCATACTCTTGACCTGCATCGGATTCACAAGGGCAGGTTAAATCCACTGAAAGGGCCTACTTACTTTGCCTTTATGCATTAAAAAAAGAGCGGGGGAACGATCAGCCCAAGAGTTGTAGCTCTTTTTGCTGTTTCCCCTGTAAGCATGGTGGCTTGGTTCACTCGAGGCCAAACTGGTGTGATCCTGTTTGGTGTTTCTGTTCATGTGTCAGCCCTGTTCATGTATGAAAAGGAGAGTCTACTGCTTAGCTAAAAAGGTGCATGTTGGACCATCTGCTTATTCCCCGCACCAAGACTCAGAAATGGGCCAGGCCAGGGGTGAGTTAGAAGTGGGGGAAGATGAGGCAGAGCAGGGGGAGCGTTTTGCGCCTTTCGCCCATGCACAGCTTGCCGCATACACGCGCGCACACACACACACACACCCTCTGTGTATGGGACTAGAGCAGACCTGGGAGCAAACCCACTGGGCATTCCCCCTCACACCTGGTTTGGTCCTTGGAGGGTATGAGGTCGCTGCTTTACTCAACTGTACTGAGTCCGTTTCCTCTTCTTTCCGTTCAGAAAAATGCCCCCATGTTCCAGCGCATGGAGCCTTCCTCTCTTCCTCAGGAGATCATTTCCAATGCCAAAGCTTTGCCTTACCTCCAGCAAGACACACTCTCTGGACTGTAAGTGTCAGGGGCTGAGGACGCAACTCATCCACGGTGCCAGGCGGGCGGCTCGTTCTTGGAAGGGTGCCGCGAACACGGAGGCGGGGCAGGGAGAGGGGGCGCTTGGGCGAGGGCTCCGAAGGAGACCCAAAGGCCTTGGCGATATGCGGGCAGGTGCACTAGAACGGCGGCGTCATCGCTCTGTATTTAATGACTCACACGGCCCCGCGCTGCACACGGGAATTGCCGAGCTGCGGATCCAGCCCTGGCGATGCTTTTTGCTGCATTTCCAGTCCTCGCCCAGAGCTACCTCTCCCCTTTTCTTCCACTCTCCCATCTCTCTCTGCACCAGGCCAAGTCTGAATAGGGAAAAAATGTTGAGAGCATTGTTAAGCTCAGACTGTAGCAGAGGAATAACTCGGCATAAAAATACCACCCGAAGACTCTCCCACATAGACAACACTTCTGCGTCACATACGATTTGGGCATGCTGTGGAAAAGCACCCTCTGCTCCAGTCCTGGCGGAAGCAGGGCTGGCCCATCGACTAGTAGCATCTGTCAAACAAGCACCGTATTTGCTTGGGTGCGGTTTCTGTGTGGAAAATGACGGCTGCTATTGATGGGAAAAGTGTATTAGCAGTGGCAGCCCCGAGCGGGTTTGGCCATGCTGGTTTTGCTGCCCCAGGGAAATCCAGACCCTGCTATCTTGCCCCTTCTGATCTGTGCAGAAAAGCTTAACTGTCGGCTGGAGCTAGGCATGTGCGTAACCTCCCTCTTGACATAAAGCTAAGTATACCTAACACTGGCTGAATATTTTAATACTCTGGTGAGCAGCGTAACAACAGCAGCTGAATGCAGCATGTTGCTGGCGTTCTGTGCCCTCAACTTGTCTCCAACTTGGGGCGACCTCCCAAGTGGATTCTCAGCAATGTCCGACCCATGACAGCCCCATTCAGCTCTTGTAAATTCAAGACCGGGGCTTCTTTGATGGAGTCCGTCCATCCCACACTGGGCCTTCCCTGACTTCTCCCGCCTCTGCCTTTCCCTGGCATGAAGGTCTTCTCCAGGGAGTCTGGCCTTCTCATGCTGTGCCCAAAGTACGGCGGCCTCAGTTTTGTCATGTTTGCTTCTAGGGAAAGCTCCGGCTTGGTTTGATCCAGGACCCACTTGCTGGTCTTTCTGAAGTGTAACACCCAAGCGCCCTGGCCGGGGAAAGGTGGCCTTCCTGAAAGGCTCAACGGCAGTTTTAGCGCGGATCCCAGTGCAGGCCTTCCACGCTTCCCTCTGAAGAGAATCCCGCAGGGCACCCTCTCAAACAGATGGCGCTTCTGAGGGCAGTGGGCTCCCAGTCAGATCTTCCAAGAAAAGTTTCCCCACACAGTTTAGGCCACACTTTATTAAGCATGGCTTTTCAGTGAGATGGGATAGTCGTCTGCTTTGTGAAGGAGGAGAGCAACAAGCATCAGATGCCACACCTTGGAGACGTGTGTTCCCTTTGACCTGCAGCTGGACTTTCTTTGCAGGAGCAGCAGAAGTGGATTCCCCTCCCTGAGTCCACTCTCTCCTCAAGAGATATTCCAGCTGGCTTGTATGGATCCAACCCATGGGGAATACCAAGAACAGCAGTCTTTGGTAAATCATTGCGCTGTTTATGAATGGCTCTAAATGTTTCTAGTGGAAGCCTGGTAGCTTTCCATGGTTTGCATTTGCTGCTGAAAATGTTCAAGGGTGGTGGTGAATTAACCCATGTGTGCATGCTTACTATCCCAAACTATCTCTGATATGCTGCCTCTATAAACTATTTCACTAATCCTGCTTTCCATATCTAGATTTTAGGAAGCCTCTTATTCCTAAAGATTGGCCATGAGATGTGGGCATTGCCTACCACTCCCTCCAAAAGACAGTGGGCCTTCCTTTGGATTGATAATGTTTACAAGTCATTTTTCTACTCCAAGAAGCACTAAACCTGGTATGCAGCCTCCAGCTGAAAACCACCCTAAAATCCCGGTGAAAGTGCTTCCTCTACCATTTCCCAATCAGAAGGCACCCCCTCCCCCAGTACCTCTGGCACCTGATGATGTAATTTGGAATTTCCAGCTTTCATGGTATTAAGAAAATACCCAGTGTGTTAGGGAATGTCCTGGTAATGCTATTTTAATAAACTGAGTGGCTGCTGCATTCATGGATCTGGAAGCATAAAATGCTGGAACTGTTGATTATCCACATAACTAGTAGAGAGAAGACCCAAAATTGTGTTCACCTTAGCCTAGTCTTTTTCCTACATAATGACTGTTTCTGTTAGGAAACAGGAGAGTCAATGGTTACCCAACCCCTGCCATGGCGACTGGCGTATGACCAATCCTCCTTGGACATAATGGGAGATCCAGGAATGGTTGAACTTGAGTATAGAGTACTATTCAAGATCAGGAACACTGGGAAGGTTCTGTGAGGAGAAGCTGCAGCCTGGAACACAACAGATCAAGGAATTATTTTGAGCTTTTAGTGGGTACCTGTCCAGCAGTATTCTTTCCGGAAATGCCAAATCCTCACCTGTTGTACAGGAGTGCTAATCATAAAGATCACCGCCAGAACAGGCCGTCTGTGAGATCCAGGCTGCCCTTTCCAGTTTTTTCTAGCAATCCTGCTAACTGTACTTTCGGCACCACCAACGCACCCAACAGCCACAATCTAACGTCTTCCACTCTTCTTTCTCTCTCTCTCTCTTTCTTATACTATGCCATTTTTATATTATCTGGCAGTTTCCCCATGAGCTGGCCCTTTTCCCCATGCCTGACAGCATGCGGTATCACAATAGCGTTAGTGTGTCCATCACAGGGCCTCTCCCTGGATAGCTTTGGCCTCGGTTTAGCCTTGGGTGCATTCGAGAGCTGGTCCACAGCCTCGCTGGGTGGTGCCTTCCCCCCAAAATGAACGATTCTGTGCAATCAAGTTGCCTCTGTTTTTATTTATTTATTTATCGATTTATAGCCTGCCTTTTTCCTACAAAGGGCTCAAGGCAGCTTACATCTATCTCCTCCTCCATCTCATCCCCACAACAACAACCCTGCGAGGTAGGCTGGGCTGAGAGTCTGTGACTGGCCCAGAGTCACCCAGTCGGCTCCATGGCCAAGCGGGGACTCGAACCCGGATCGCCTGAGTCCCAGTCCCGTGCTCTTAACCACTACGCCACACTCTGTCATTCCTGTCCACCTACAAAGGTGGCTTCAGGAGCCCCCTTTTACCTCAGGGTTGTGGTGGCAACTTGAAGTGGTCCAGATGCTTGGCCTGCGACTCCCAGAATTCCTCACCACAGGCTATGCTGTCAACGGGAGTTGTAGGACAAAAGATCTGGATGGTCACACATGGCCCACCCCTGTGGCAGGAAATCAGAGTCAAGGAAAGTGGCTGAGATGTGGGGTCACAGCATAAAAACCTCTTTCTGATTTGCTGCCCCAAACAGGTGACCTGAAGGAAAAAGAGGAAAAAGTGAACCCATGTTTCATATTACACTACTCTATAATACCTCGCCCTCATTAGATTTTTCGCTGTTGCTTTCTAGATGTGCAATTCATTTCGAGTGCTCAGCCTGTGGAGATGTGAAGGGCTTTTAACCTTTAGTAATGAATGGTCAGTGATTATTCTAATTGCTAGAGAGATGATGGATGGATATGGACTGCTGGAAGGTCAAATTGCACCACTGTGATTGTAAATCATTTGTGTTATATACTAGCATGTTTTGTAAAGGTTTTGAAAGGTAATGTGTACTCCAAGTGTCTCCTATTCACAACAAGGCAGAGCCTCGGGAGGCTGCCAGCTTTAAAAATGCCACTGTGGTCTCACTTCTGACAAATTTGACACCCCCTCCCTTGCCCCATGTTCAGTTGAGCTATCGAGGCCAGTTGTCTTTGTACGGGTTAGTTTTTTAATCGCCGCAATCAGCCACCGCAATGGGTGGGGAGGGATCAGGGCTGAGCCACAGCGAGAATTCCTGATGCTTCTGGGTTTGTGTTCATCTTGTCTTCAGTGCCATGGTCCCGATCCGTGCTGTTGAGTCACATCACACCAATGTGAACACACGCCTCCGAGTCACCCTCACATACGGCCGACTTTCCAGCCGGCGGCTGTAGTGTCTGTGTGTGTGCGGCTGTGTGTGCATGAGTGTGTGCGTGTGTAGCTACGCACCGCCTTGACACCTGTTGGACTGCAGTGCTCAGTGTGTATTTCCAGTCCTTTCTGTGTGCTTCTCAGAATGTAATACTATATCTGTGAAATTTCTGTCACACAGATGCACATACATATGGTATGTCTCCGTGTACTCTGGCACACTTCCACCAAAAGAAACTGCAAACAACATTTTGTGATGTCACTCCTGTTGGGGGACACCGTAACTTGCCCCAATAATAATAATAATAATAATAATAGTCCATAGCAATAGAGAAACAGTGAAAATGCACATGGCACCAAAACATAAAACTCTATCGCTTTACAAATGTCTGGAGAGGCATTTGTCGGTTGCCTGGAGAGCTCTGTGCAGACACCAAAATATAAAAACTACACAAGTCCAGAAAGTGAATGAGCATCAGGAGCACATCTGCCAATGCAACTTTTGAGGACTGTTAGCCGCAGATAAATCAGAAAGGCACAGAGATTCAGCTCCGTGATGCGGCTCAACTGTCACCTGGTTGAAGACAAACGAGCACATGGACAAGAGAAGCATCCAGGGAAAGAAACTGCGCTGAATTTCCATGCTCAGCTAGTCCAAAATCAATGCACCCATTTTCTTCGATAGAGCTACAGCTACCGTTCGATTTATAGCTGTCCTAAGCACATTTCCGGTGCTGTGTGCATCCTTGGGATTACAGGCTGCCTCCCTCCCTCCCCCCCTCCCTCCCCTCCTCCCTCTCCCCTTCTCACCCACATAAAGCATTCCCTGTGCTTTATGCATAGCTTATGCTAAAGCCATTCCTAATGCATTGGTGGAAACGGCACTGTCAGACGATGGCAAGTGATGTAATCAAACAGACCCCCGTGAGCTTGGCTGTGTGTTTATTTCCAGGAGCCAGAGGTTAGAGAGTTTAAAAGAGTGCAGCCCTCTTACTGTAGCAGCTACCTCCCGGTGGATACTCAGGAACGAACTGTGTCTGGGAGGGCCTCCTCCATGCCACGCCTGACCGTGGATCCCCAGGTAACGCCAGGTGAAACCCGTGACGGCACGGCGGGATGTGACCTTGCAATATGATCCTTTTCCCGCAGGAGGTGGTTGCTTAGCTCAGGGAGTGCGTAGTCCAAACTCTAGCACCAAGAGCGTTTTCCTCGGCTCCCCACCAAGCCAATGCACAGCTTTAGCCCCTGGTGTTGCCAAAGAGTCCGAGCGCAGTGAAGTAGCCCCGCATTTTAAGGATGGAGAGCTGGAACACAGAATGAGTAGCTCCTTCAAGAACACAGGGAATGGAGCCGGGCCTCGATGTAGTCCAGCCGCCACCCTAATCCTGCCATGCACTTTCTTCCAAGACTGCAGTGGAGCACGGCTGGGGGAGAACCCACCTCTCTGCCCTGTTTCAGCCCGCACAGTTGCTGGTAGCAGCAAGAATGCCAACAGCTTGGAAGAGCCCTTCTCCTGCCTGGAAAGTACTGGTTTTTCTTGACGTTAGCCGCCTTCTCTTTCGAGTCTTTTCCCATTGTCCTAAGACACCTGTTGACATGCCTGCCTCTGAGCATTCCTGTCCTGATCAAGTCTTGGCCATACTCCATCTTTTTGTGTGTTGAGCAGGTTTTTTTCTGTCTGTCTGTCTCATACTTAGTTCGGATAAACAGAGAGAGATAAGGTGTCCCCAGGCTTGTCATCGGGACCTTAAACTACATTGCAGCAGTGGTTCGATCCGAGTGTCCCACATGGGAGAGACTCGGTTACAAGTCATGCTAGGTGAGGTCGGTAGCGTCGGCCCTACGGCACTCGTGTGAGCAAACAGCGAGGAAAGTAAGGGCGTGTGGCCATTTTACCGATCAATGTGTGCCTAACCATGGTGCTAAGATGCTCCCTGGATAGCAGTTGCCAAATCTCTGGAATCAGAAGCTGAAGCTCCTCTGCCTTGAGAAAGAGCGGAGAGCTTCCGTTCACGGCAGGGCCAAACCCCAGGAGGGCAAAGGAAGGGAGGGAAAGCTGGCATTTTATGCTAAGACAGGAGCTCCCCGACCAGAGAGCAGCAGCGTCAGTGGGAAGGGAAGGAAGCCAGCAGGTAAAAAACCTGAGCAAGAACAAGGAGGAAAAGGTGCAGGAGGTAGGCTGAGAATGGATACAGGGAAAGGGCAAGATCTGTGAGTAAGTGAATAAAGACTAAATAACGAAAATATTTATTAGATGGGTGGCAAGAAAATGAAAGAGTGATTCATGAGCAAGAAAGAGCAAACAGGTGAGGGTATTTTGGAGCAAGGTTATGGAATAGCATGTTGGATCAAAATAGGGCCTGCTTCTTATTGCAGTGGTAAACTGGAGGCTATAACCATGCCGTGCTGCAGCTTGGGCCATGGGCGGGGGGCTCATATCACTGAAAGTGCCCCCATGCTGAAGAAATGCCCAGCATGTGGAAGCTGGAAGGGGGAGGGGAGCGCCCCTTACTGCGTTGCAGAGAGGACTGCTACGTGGGAAAGCATTCATGAATGCTTACCAGAGGCTGACATGGTATTGTCCAGATGTGGTATAGCCCAAACAGGGCCTTACCATTTCGTTAAAAAGCAGGCCATCAATCCAAAAGAGGAGGAGGATCTGAAATTTGGATGGCCTTAACTACCACGGACAGCACCAATCTGGATGGGGCCAAGGATTGGAATTTGGATGCCGGTGAGGTTTGGATCCTGGAGATTCTGAGCTGCTGGAAAAACTGCAGCCGAGTTTCTCCTTCTTTTTTCTAGCCTTCCTCCCATGCTTCCTGCGACCTTTTTAACTTCTCTTGTCCCCTTTGGAACGCCATTCCCCCGTGGCTGCCCCTTCGTCCGTTCACTGTTCTTACCCCAATGCCAGTTTTGTTTCAAGACATAATTCCAGTTAGCAGCCGACCCTCCTGACTACATCTGAGAAAATCCAGTCCTGTCCAGTTTTTCTTTGCAAAATGAGGAGGAAGGCCAGCACCTTACTTTGTAGAGAATACTCCCGCTCAGCCTTTCCAAAGTCTCATACAACATTTTTGACCTCTAGTTTTCAGGCCTAGTTTTAGTGTGTTGCACGAAACAAGCAAAACCGTTCACACGTAACAGGTGTGCTCTGCCATCTTTCTGAATATTCAGTGTCTGAACTGGCATTGCTCCGTGAGGCTATGCACTCTAGTTTAATTGTGCATTAAACAACCCACAGACAACCTAACTGCTACTTGTAGGTGATTCTGGCCTGCCTGCCCCACAATCAACCCATCCTATCCAGGTTCAGAGGTTGCTGCAAGCCCTGATTGTCCCAGTGGGGGGGGGGGGCAAATATTCAAATGGGCTTTGAAATGCACTGGGCATGTGCCACCCTTAAGTGCAAACAGTGTTGCTTGTTGGAAGCAACACAATTTCCCACCATGATACGTGAACTGAGTCAGTGCTGTAGCAAAACTCATTCAGGCTGCGCTCAAGCAGCCCCTGTGGAATGCCTTTGCCCCAGAAGGCAACCAAAAGGAGAGTAAAGAGTGTTTCAGGGCATACTCAGACTGAACTGCGGGAATTTGCTCTTACTTGGAATAGTCTTTCTCGGATTTGCCCAGTTTGACCTGCAAGGGCAGGTTCTCTGTTTCAGCCTGACATCAAAAGAGAGATGCCCATTCCAAACACAACCAAAAGGTCTTGCTTGTTTAAATTAAGCAGGAAAGTTCTCAGTTCCCTCTAGTCAGATGCACCAGATCAGGCATTTCCAGTAACTGGGCCAGGAATTCGGAAAAGCCCAGCCTCCATCCCTAATCTGCCCCAGTGGGACAGCTAGCGCATTCCACCAACAGTTCGCCTTGAGCCGAGGCAGCGTGGCTAAACTTAGAGCTCCCCAACCCAAATTATTGACCATGCCAGAGTCGGAAGTCTGCCTCTGCCACAAAATTACGTGGGGAAGCTCCTCCGGACCCCTCGGTTGTGAAACAACTTTCCACTTATCCAAGCGAGCGAGCTTTCTGTGGCATGAAACGCCTCGGATTGGCAACAGCCGATACAGCCTCTAACCACCCCGTCCTCATGGGATGCATTTCCAGGTGGTCACCGATCCAGCCTCCATGAGACGTTCCTTTTCTACGATCCGAGACAAGCGGACAAACGCCTCCTGGTTGGATGAGTTCTCCATGGAAAGGAGCAGTGAAAATACCTACAAGTCCCGTCGGCGAAGCTACCACTCAGCCTTGCACCTGTCCTCACGGCGCCTCAACACAGACTCAGGTACCCGAGGGCAGCAGTGGGATGGACGGAAAAAGCCGTAGATGGTTTTTGATCAAGTTCGAGGGGAGAACGATTCCACTGAGGTCACATAGCCCCATCTTGTTTCTCAACGAAGGCTGAAAAGAGTTATCTCTCCGCTCAGAAAGGGATGCGACCCATGAAAGCTGACCCGTGAAAACATCTGTTCCGTTTGCATGACTAGCCTGTAAAATGAGAACATTTTCTGCAGCAAGTGTCTTTTGGAACATCCTCATGCAATGAATGAGAGCCAGAGTTGCTGTGTGAAGGACTGTGGGTGTTATGGTCGTACCTCTTTGTATGTGTGAGAAATCGTGGGCTGCTACAGTCTGTGCATTAAGCACAGGGATGTGGTAGCTTGATGAGGACACGCAGAAGAGGAAGTTTAGGCAAGCACTGAACGTGTGGACCTATTTTGCTTCCAAGCCGATGCAAAAGGAGGGTAAACTGGCAGATTTGCCAGTCCTCAAGGGTAAAGGAGATGCAAAGACGTCTGGACAACGGCGTAGATTCAAAGAAAAGCAAAAGGCCAGGCTGGGCCTGGGAAACTGCAGGATCCTTTTGCTTGATTAGGTGGCAGCTTCTGCGTGTGGAATATTCCCCAAATCAAAAGGCCGAAGCAGGGGCTGAGGGACAGAGGGCGTGTTTGCAGGCTTCCTCCCAGAGAGATTGCTAACTGCATGCCTGGAGAAGTTTAGCATTTGCAGGTTCTCCCAGCAGAATAATTCCATTATTCCTCTATCAGAAAACTATATCAGAATAAGGTGGAGACATGCTCAGAAGATAGTTGTGCATCAGGTCTGAATTAATTGATTCAGGATACTGACCTATGAAACATCTGATGGAATTGCTAACATCTGCATAGGTTAGAATACTGCTTTGGGAGAGGATTCCGATAGTCCCCTGAATAAGCTTATGAGATACCATGGACATCTATTCCCTGAAAAGGCCCTTCTTCTTGTTGCTACCCTCTTATTTCCAAAGAGGTTCATGAGGACTGGTGATGTGGATGGTATTTTGCCTGTTCTCAGTACTGAGAATCGAGGATGGTTACAACATTAAAAATGTTGTAAATAAAAACGTAAACACTTAAAACATGAATAGTTATAGACATTAAAATATAACTAAATCAGCTAGAATATTATAGTGATGTAAAATGCCACAATTAAGACAGGAGTAAAACAACAGACAAATGGAGAAAGGCCAGCCACAGGCCCAGACTGTTCCCAAAGGCCTGCCAGAACAGAAAGGCCCATCTCAGAAAGCATAGCAGGGAGGGCGCCAACCCAGCCTCTTGGGGCAACTACCAAGAAGGCCCTCCTCCACGTTCCCACCAGGTGTGCCTGTAAAAGAGTTGGGAACTAGGGGCCAAGAGAAGGGCCTCCCCTAAAGTCCTTAAAGCACAGGTACTCCTAGGGGAAAATGCCAGCATTCCGAGCACTAGGACCTGAGCCGTGTAGGGCTGTGTGGGTCATTGCCAACACCTGGAAACAGCCTGGGATCCAGGGAGGGTGTTTCAGCCAAGGGGTTCCTGCTCCCTGTAGCTGGTGAACAGTCTGGGGGTAACTCTCTGAACCTGCTGTGGTTTCTGAGCTCTTCAGAAGACAGAACACGGAGGGCATTGTGGAATGTGTGTGTAGCCCCAGTTGTGTCTTACGCAGGCCATCGATCGGACACGCATCGGTCAGGAGGCCGAGAGCGAGGTCGCTCCAAGGAACGCAAGCACCTGCTCTCTCCAGACATTTCCCGCTGCAACTCAGAGGAGAGGAGTCCGCCGGCAGATGGTGACTCTCCGGAGCGACGTCCATCAAGGTCTCCCAGCGAAGGCAGATCACAAACCCCCAACAGACAGGTGGGTGCGAAGCTGGGAAGGGCATCCACCACCTGCACACTTGGTCTCTTGCAAAAAATTAGGGCCCATTCAGGCACATTTGTTCATAAACTGATTTCTTACCACTCCTTGCAAAAGCAGCCTTAGAGCGTGAGTGCCAGAAGGAGCTGCTGAAGCTAGTAGCTAAACGAGGCCACGGGGAAATAAGAGGAGGAAGGGCCGTTTGCTTAGGGAGCCACGGTTTACAGCAAAAAACCTTTAAAGAGAAACAGAAGTCTACATTTGGGTGGGGGTTCTCCAAAACCCACACAGTGATTGCCAGCTACTGGCCAGAACATGGCTGAACACCGTTGGGCTTTGGGGACGCGTGAGACGTAACGGGAGCATATGAAATCGGGCCCGTCCGGGGCTCTCCACGCGCGCGCACACGCCGCCTCTCTTCCTCGTTGCAGGGCACGGGCTCCCTGAGCGAGAGCTCCATCGCCTCCATCTCCGACACCAGCACGCCGAAGCGCGGCCGCCGCCAGCTGCCCCCGGTGCCGCCCAAGCCGCGGCCCCTCGTCTCCTACGCTGCGATGCTGCAGCACCGCGGCACACCCTCGCCGCCCCCCGGACGACAGCGAGGGCGGCTCGCCCCTGCTCTCCGGCGCCCTGGAGACGAACCACGCCTGCTTGACTGAGTCTTCCAGCCCCCCGCAGGGCAAGCCGGGCCTCCTCGCCACCCCGCAGCGCTACATCTCCGAGCCGTACCTGATGCTGCAGGACGACTCGCACGCCTCGGACTGCGGCGAGGAGGAGACGCTCACCTTCGAGGCTGCCGTGGCCACCAGCCTCGGGCGCGCCAACACCATCGCCTCCGGCCCGCGCTCGCGGCACAGCTGGCAGATGCCCAACGGGCACTACCGGCGGCGGAGGCGGGGGGCGGCGCAGGGGGTGGTGTGCGGGGCCGGCATCGACGTGCTCAGCGACACGGAGGAAGATGACCGCTGCTAGGCCACGCGCGCCCGCCCGCCCGCCGCCCCCGCGCTTCTCCAATGCATGCGGCCGCCACGGTGCAAACGGGACGAGCCACGCAGGAGCCGCGGGCAGGCGCTCGAGCACCGCGTGCGAGAACTGACCCGGCGTGCAGCCCACCGGGGCCCTGCCTGCCTTGTTTCCATTGCCCGGAGAAGCACTGGGCTTGTCTCGGCGACCCGCGGGCCGGCTCGGGGGCAGCAGCTGGCCGCGAGGGAGCGACGCATGGCCACGGTGACCCTCGTCCCGAATGCTCGTGGGGCTCTGTCCCCCAAAGCCAGGAGAATGTGCCCCAGACGAGGCAGTCGTTGCAGCAGATGCTTTGCAGGAAGATGCTAAAGGGTTCTGTAAAAATACCGCGCCCCTGGCAACACCTTCGACCCCCAGAAAGACGGGCAGATAGAGAGAGAGAGAGATAGATTTGGGGTGCATGCTGCCAGTTCCTTGAGATGACCGCCTTGCCTGCTTTCGCGATCCCTCCGCTAGTTCAGCCAACAGGATGGGTGGCTGAACAATTTATCCCGAGCTTCTCCAGGGCGGAGGTCACAGCTTGCCAAGGGCACATGTTCCAGATCCATCTCCAGGCTGGAGGTCAGCGAAAAGCAAATCTTGGGAGAACAGAGGGGAGCAGGTGAGGGGGAGGCGAGTGGGAGACCCCCTGGGCACTGGTGACAGCACATGGGGAAAATAAGGGTTTCGTTCCTGTGAATCCACCCCTGCTTTTTCGCACTGTGGTCAGGGGGGCCAGAGTGGACCAAGGAGAGGACCACGGTTTCACTAAATCTGTGTAACACCACGCTTCAAGCATACCTTTATATCTTGAGTTGGGAGTGTGCAGGAAGCCTGTGTGCGTGCACATGCGTGTATTTATATACCACATATTTAAACATGCATACATACAGAGATTTATTTTACCACACTGTTGATTATGAGCACCAGGGCTGGATACTCTTGCCCAGGGGACAGGAGATGCCCAATCCTGTTGGAGTTGTTTGGTGCTGTACATTATGTGAGATGCTAATTACTGAGGCCACGAAGTTCTCCAGAACTCCCCCCCCCCCCGGTATAAACAGGCAGTACAATAAAGCCTAACCTAGTGGCCAGGGCTTAATGCTGAAGACCTTGGTGCTTCTTCATTTATTTCCTTACAAGTGAGCATTTTTGAATCCTCCTCATCCCTTACCATCTCTTGACTGAAGTCTGGACGCACAAGGAGCGGAGGCATGTCACGCTTTGAGCATGCATGTTTGATGGGACCGCAGCAACTCACATCCAGCCTCCTGGGGAAGTAAGCCAGTGTGGAAAAGCCGTTCTCGTGTCCCTTTGGGCTGATTCAAAAGTCAGTCAGGGCTTATCATACATCTGAACCGTTAAGCCTCATCAGCACATTCCAGCTGGTCCCCCGTCCATATGCTTTCGACCCACCAAGGTGCTGAGCGGAGGGGGCTCTATTTGTCCTTCCCCTCCCTGTTTAGTGTCTCACCTATTTAGGTAAAATTTTCCTTTCCTCCATGATGAAGCTCCCTGACTTTTTCATCCTGCCTGGAATACTGAGTGCATTTCCACGGATAAGCTTCTGACTCCACACATGGGCTTTTCAGGAGCAAGCTGAGAACCTAGGTAACGTGAGAGGGCAAAGGGGAGAATGAGCAGAGGATGAAGCAAAGGGCCCACGTTAACCACCGGGGAGGCATCCTAAAAGATGGTGGGAATGGCCTCACCAGGGAAGGGAGCACAGCCAGCTGTGACCACGGCCTCTGGACAGAGCGCTGGTTGCCAGAACAGGAAAAGCAACAGTGACTCAATATTCTTGAGTCCAAGAGTCAACCTTGGGCTAGCAGCTGCTACGAAAGGCCAGCGTCAGTGCGATGAGGCCTTTTGAGCTGGAGGCATATACAGAAGGATACCAGCAGGACTTCCTGGAGAGGTCACACTATTTTAGTGGGGGAAATGAAAAAGGCGGAGGGATTCCGAAAAGCCTCGTGTGGCCACGTTGCACCTGTGGTGGCGGAAGCGTGTCCAGCGAGCATTTCATCCCTGCAGAGCGCGCACTGATTCTTTTGGCTGGCCCATCCGCTGCTCAAGTCATGCTTGCTTTTGTCGCCCCGCAGCTGCTCCCATTCTGGAAGGCAGTGGCAAGAAAGGCCAGGCTTTTCCAGAGCAACCACAACGTTGTTCTGCAGGAGAGGCCTGGAAGCGGTTGCTGACTGTGAAGTGCCTGCTGATGCCTCTTCCTTGCCAGCAACCCTCCTCTGGGAAGCGTGTGGTGGGTGCGGTTTATCCTTTGCAGGAGGGGCACCTTGGAAGGACGTGGGTGTGTGACCATCGGCCCGCCCTACTCGGAACTGCCTGAACCAAGCAGCAGTGCAAGGTGTCCGGCAGGAGTTTGGCAGCCCCCCTTGGAAATGCCTGAAAAGCAGCCTGGGGCCTCCCACAGGCAGAGCTTGTGCTGTCCCTCTGTGGTGCCCAAAGATCACTGTTTGATGGGAGAGTGCTTCCTTTTCATGAAGAAGCCCCCAGCCCAATCCTGGTTTTCTTCGATCATGGAAGAGAGCAATGGAGCGTTGCGGCCAAGAGTGCAGGTTTCTGGCTGGAGCTTCCTGCTCAGCCTGAGCGCTAGGAGAGCCCTCGTTTTCCTTCTTCCCTGGGAAGGTGCACTGGGACATTCGTGGCCAGGTTCTCTGTGTCTCCACACTGCCTGCAGCCCTCGGATGCTGCCTCCAAGCTGGTCCTCCCCTTCTCCCTTCCCCAGCGTCAGGATTGCTCCACCTCTCCCTCATCCGACCACAGGCTCAGCATGAAGATTAACCTTAGGCCATTTTCACTGACAGCTGAATCAGATTTTGCTGATCTTCTCTTTGAAATTTGAATATAATACTTGTATTGTCTAAAATGCTCCCATAGTTTTTAAATGGCTCTTTTCTAGTTCCGTGGGTGCACAGCACAAAAGAGGCTCACAGGCTATTTTGACAAATGCTCAGATATTTTAACAGTATTTCATCATCTTCTAGAGAGCTGGAAAATTTAGAAAGGTCAGCTTAGAGCTTAATGACTGGATTTCTGTACAAAGTTCTCAAAACCCCCTCATGAAATGTCTCTACCTCAGTAGCTCCCACCCCTCCTAGCAATTCTTTTTAAAGGAATTCTCTTTGCTTCCCGACAGACTGGTATCGCAGAAGCCTTTTGGCTTGCTTCTTTTGCTCCATTGTCATTTTGGGTTTTTAAAGCAATGCAGAACCCTGCACAGTTGGTCCAATGGGCCTTGGGGAGTTTTGTAGAGGTTGAAAATCCTGTTTGAATGGAGCCAAAGTGATAATGGGAGAAAAGCCTTAAGAATAGGACTTTCTTACGGAAATCCTGTTTGAATGGAATGGAACCAAAGTGACAACGGGACAAAAGCCTTCACTTACCTGTTGGACTACAGCTCCCCTCATCCTCAGCCACAGCAGCCATTGGGGAGGAAGGGTTGGAACTGTAGAGCTGGGGAAATAATTAGCCAGTGAGCAAAAGGTAAACCCCTCTGTTTACGGTGCCACCTTCAGCAATCTGGATTTCACAGTGTGTCTCTCCTCCTCATGGTTTCTGAGCATATATTTTTACTGGCTTGAATGTTTATCCTGCTCTTCAGAGCTCGGGGGGGGGGGGCCGCAAAATGGGCCCCCCCCCCCGCAATCATGCCAACCATGTCATTGCACTGGCTCACTGACACCTTTTGCATAATGTTCCTTCCCACGTCATGACCTTGAGAAAGAGATGGTGGGTCACCTCGGAGACCACCAGCAGCAGAACCTTGGAATATTTCTCCCTTTTGGGGTGTGTGAGGAATCCTGTATTTCAAGGTTAAGATCATGTTGGCCCAAGATCTCATGGACTCTTTCCCAAGAGAGTGTCCTCCAGGTGTGTAGGCCTGCAACCTGGAAAAGGTGAGGCTTGCAGTTCCTTCCATCTGGAAGGCACCATGTTGGGTGATGATCTGTTGGTCCTCTCGCTGAATGTGTAAGCTTTGCCCCCAGCCTCCAAGTCACCACAGCCCCACACACCTGGGTCCTAAAAGGAATGTTTGCACCCACACCCGCCCTTAAAGTTAGAATGTAGAGCTTCTAACTGACTATATGACTGTCATTCTTATCCCTTGTCATATATCGGAGCTGGTTTCACTCAAAGGCACAGAATTAAGGAGTCACAGTTAATCTGCTCATACTGTGAAGCTGCCCCTCACAGGGGGCACCCAGCTTGAGCAAAGGGACTTCGTTCTTACATAATTCTAACCCATGGTTTATCTAACCCATGATTTGTTACCCTGCCTAGAGTTTGTCTAACAGGCAATCGAAGAAACCAGTTTGTTTCCTCAAAGCTTGGGTGGTGTGTGTTCTCCTCCTTCATCTGTTTTCCTCCTCTATCTGAAATATCTTGGCAGCGCCTTAGCATTGGCATGTGCAGTGGAATTTTGAGCTTTCCTAACTATTCCTGTCTGCGACCTCCGTAGCCCGGCAAAGCAACCCATGAACAACCCACAGTTCCGGATTCACATGTATTAACAACCTGCAGCTTAAACAATCCAGAATGTACTACCCAGTAACAGCAATCATAGCTTCTTGCAGCTGAGTATCATGACAATGAAAAATTCATCAAACCAGGGATTTAATAAACCATGGCTTAGCATTATGTGCAAACCAGGTCTCCCTGGATTTGGCTCCAGGAGTCAGCTCCATCGAGACCAGCCACTGTCTGCTTAGGGTCTCACATATGGAAACTGAGCTGGACATAATGGATACCCTCCAAAGCCAGTTCCCTTCCCTACCCCCTTTAAAGCATGAGGACCTTGCAGAGCGAAAGTGAGTTCTGAGTTCTGTAGAATCGCTTCCCTTCGAAGTTGACTCACATCTTTACTCTGTGCTGCCAATGTGGAGGCAAGATTGTATGTGGACGTGGCTTTCACTGGTTCTGGGGGAGATAAAAATGCTGACTGACATGCCTTG